GACCGAAAGCTTGCATTTCAAGGCCCGTCTCCACCGCAGAAGTGCAGTGTCAGGTCCGCTCCGCTCCGTCCTTCCAGGAGGGGGCCCCCAGACACAGGGTTCTGAATGGTCTAACGTTACCTTCACTGACGCGCACGCTTGGCCTTGTCCTGTTTTTCCAGGTCCCGGGCTATTATTTAGACCTCGGTTGCCCGAAGCGGGGGAAAGTGCGGGTTTTGGAGCTGGAGCCAGCTGGCCCCCCCGCGCTCGGAGCCCCGCAGGTGATCCCAGGCGGCGCCTCCCGCGGTCACGTGGCCGGAGGGGCGGCGTGCGACGTGGGAGGCTCAGCGCCGGGTGAGCGCGGGGCGTGGGGCCTTGGGGCGCGGACGCGGCCCCGGAGGCGGCGGGGGGGTCCAAGTCGCTTGGCCGGGTCCGGGGTCCCAAACCCTCCCTCGCGAAGCGGTCCCCGGGGCGTGCTATACCCGCAGTGGGGACCTCCCGGGGGGGAGGACCCGGGCCGCGCACATCTGTGGAAACTCGGCGGGTTGTGGGCGAGCTGGCTAGTTGGCTGCTTTCCCGCTAATGCTGGTTTAATGGCCTGTCCGACATTGAAAATGTCTAAACTAAGCTGCAAAACCCCCCATTGTAAGGAATAGGTTTGAAAGACTGCTTCTGCCTCTCTCCCTTCCTTCTCTCTTTATTTTTTCTATTAATTTTGAGCCTTAACAGTGACAGCGCACTAAATGCAGTGTAGTATCCCGGATCGCTTCCTGGAACAGAAAAAGGACATCGGAAGAAAAACTGGGGAGATTCTAATAAAGTCTGTGGTTTAGTTCATGTTAACTTCTTAATTTTGATAAATGTACCCTAATATTAACATTAGAGGAATCTAGGTAAAGGATACACAGGAGTTCTCTGTATTATATTTGCAATTTACTGTGAATCTAAAATCGTTTTAACAGGAAAAGTTACAGAACAAAATCGTACGGTGCTGTGCGACAGGCCATTGTTCCGGCGGGGATCCGGTTCATTGCTCTCTGCCAGGCCTGACAGGAATTGTGTGTTTGACCAGCTTGTTTGCTGAGGCCAGAGTTGTTAGGCTGCTGGGCGTGGGTGCTCCTAGTCCAGTTTTCCAGGAGGAATCTGTTTTCTGTTTTAAATGTCTGTCAGGTATCTTTAGAACACTTGTTCTGCACAAGCAAATGAGACGCATATACAGTACTCCCTGCACTAGGGGTGTGTTCAGTAAAAACATTAGGGAAGAAGTAAGGACTGTTAAAAAAAAAACGAAGAAAGAAGAAAGGACTATGAAAAGGTTTAGTACAGAGCTAGAAGGGCTCAGAGGTAGGAGAAATCACCTCTGGCCCAGGGTAGCCTGGAGGGCCTGGCTGACGGGAGGCGGGGAAAGCATCCCTGGGGTGGAAACTGGCCCCAGCGGAGAGTTGAAGGTACCAGGCTGAGGCTACCTTGGAGCAGATGTAGGCCCTCTCACATGGAAGCACAGAGCACGCCCAGGGAGTACTCACAGTGGAAACAGGAAGTGAAAACAGGACTCTTGTAGCAAACAGGGCAATACTTTTAAATATATATATATTTTTATTGATTTCAGAGAGGAAGGGAGAAGGAGATAGAAACATCAGTGATGAGAGAGAATCACTGATCAGCTGCCTCCTGCATGTTCCACATTAGGGATCGAATCCGCAACCCAGGCATATGCCCTGACAGGGAATCGACCGTGACACTCAACCACTGAGCCACACTGGCCGGGCAATAGAGCGACACTTTTATAATATAGGCCATGGGAGCCATGAATGGACAGGCATCCCTCGATCTGTGCTTCGTCACAGTGTGTGGAGTAGATCAGTTAGGGAATTATTGGTTTAGTCCAGAAGTCATAAGAAATTCAGCCAGGCCTGTGAAGTTCAGGTGAAGAGAAGGACAAGGCATTGGGAGACTGTGGATCTAGAGGACCTGACAACTGAAGGTACCAAAGAGAAGAGAAAAAAACGCAGAGTTTTGGACCTGGGTGTTTTAGAGCATGGTTGTCGAGTTTGCAGAAATAGAGGATGCAGGAGGAGACGCGGCGGGAACTGGGGAGGGGAATGAATTTGTTTTTAAACAAGCTGTGTTTGAATTGCTGCCAGGATATCCTGCTGGAGATGTGTCTCTAAGAATGGAAGCCAAACATATACAGAAGGGACAGGAAGAGGAAAGGAGCCTGAGGGGGCAGATAAGAGAGAGTGGGGGGGGGGTGGCGGGAGGTTCTTGGCTCCCCCTCTTCCCCCCAGCTCCCCCACACCCCTACCCCAGGATTCCTGTGGGACCAGGGGCCTGGGCGTTAAGTCAGTAGGCACAGCTTCTGCAGAAGTGGAGGTGGCTGAGGAACAAGACTGGGTCTTGGATTTAGTGATTAGGAAGTCACTGGTCTCTTTTCAGAGAGTTGTTTTAGTGCAGAAGAGGATGATTGCTCAGTCTGCAATCTGTTCATTCTGTGGCCTTTCCCAAGTGACCAGACCACAGAACAAGGAGCCAGAGAGATGTTCCTAAGTTCTGGCTGCCACTACCTGTATAGTTTGAGGCTAGGCTGCCACTACCTGTATAATTTGAGGCTGGGCACCTGTGCCTAGACTGGCATAGTAAAAGACAGCTCGTATACCCTAACTGGTTTGGCTCAGTGGATAGAGCGTCAGCCTGCGGACTGAAAGGTCCCAGGTTTGATTCTGGTCAAGGGCATGTACCTTGGTTGCGGGCACATCCCCAGTAGGGAGTGTGCAGGAGGCAGCTGATCGATGTTTCTCTCTCATCGATGTTTCTAACTCTCTATCCCTCTCCCTTCCTCTCTGTAAAAAATCAATAAAATATATTTTTAAAAATACAGCTTGTAATAAAACCAGAAGGGCTCTTTCATTCTTAGCAACACCTCACAGTTCATAGAACTAGGGTTCCATGGGGCACTGTGGAAAATGCTGATACAGAACTGGGATTTCAGGGCTCTAAAGAACAAAAAAAATCGTGTCCAATTCCTTCATTTGACAAACGAAAAACTAATACTCAAATTCTAATTCATTAAACATTGCTTTCAAATATATCAGTGGTGCCCAGATATAGGGTTTATGGAACTAAGCATAACTCTCTAAAAAGTAATTATGCTTAAACCCATTTTGGAAATTTGAAGACAGGATCCAAGAAGTTAAATGACTCGCCCAGGATCACAGAATAGCATTAGTGGAGTGAAATTTGAACCCAAAACTCCTGAGGCCAGGCCTTCTCTGTTGCCCATCTACTGCCTCCCTGGTTGTCAACATTGAATGCATTTAAAACTAGTCAAATGGAATGTTAGTAATATGTTCCAAAAGTCAAGTTTAATTTGATTGCATTCCACATTAATATTACTATTAGTATATAAAAAGTGGGAGGGTCCACAGCCAACAGTTCTTGAATTACATTTTAAAAAACAGTAGAGCATTGGACCATGTGAAAGCTTACTATTATGTGAAACTCTTAATAGCAGGAAGATGTTCTCATTATGCCTGAATATAGGGGGTGCATTAAAAAATATTCTTAGCTAATCCTGTGGTTGCATATTCTTTCCCCTTATTGCTTTTTTCCTTTGTGTTAACCAATTCCGTTTTCTTCACTGCTGGCTGCCTAACCCTGACCACACCTTCCTTAACAGAGATATGAGGTTATAAACAGGAATCTGCTGCACTAGAGGTAAAACACAGCCTCTTAGGTAACAAATAACTTCCCATCTACCCTGACAAATAAAAATAGAACTTACTTATTTAGGAAGTAAACTTGTAAAGAAACCAAGATGATTTTATTAAAGTTTTGGAGGAAAAATGGGTCTGCCTAGCCGGTGTGGTCATGGTAGACACCAAGAGGTCATGGTCTGATTCCCGGTCAGGGCACATGCCCTGGGTTTTGGGCTTGATTCCAGGTAGGGGGCATGCAGGAGACAGCCAATAAATGATTCTTTCTCATCATTGATGTTTCTATCTCTCTCTCCCTCTCCCTTCCTCTCTGAAATCAATAAAAATATATTTTAAAAAATAAAAATAAATAAAAATGGACCCAATAGACTGTTGAGTGTTGCTAAAACTAGCTATTTTAAGCTTTTACTTTGAGTTCTATTAGATGTAGTAATAGAAACTTGATTTACTCTGATGTTAATCTCATTGAAATTCTCCAAATGATACAAAGCAGTGGCTAAGAGTGTAACAGTGTCTCTGACATCAGGGATCTGGATTCAGAATCTGGTTCCGGCTCTTGTTAGCTGTGTTACTTTACCTGTGTGCACTTCAATTTAACTGTACTTAGTAATAACAGTGTTGTCTTACAGTGTTTGTAAAGAATAAATAGAATAATCTAAGTAAAGCACTTAACATAGTGTCTAGAACACAGAAAGCAAGCAATACGTACTAGCTCGCTATTATTATGTTATTAAAAAATTGTTGCTGATTTAAAGCACCCATTTTAATTATTTTCTTATATAGGAGGGCACAATTGATTAACACACTTCTCATCTTGTCCCCTAATCCAGTTAAATTTCCCTTATTTTTTTCTGTGACTATCATATTATTGAGGTAAAATTTGCATATATGAAAATGCACCATCGTTAAGTATATAGTTGGATTCATTTTGACAACCATCGTTCTAGTCAAGATATAAGACTTTTCCACCATCCAAAAAAGTTCTCTCATGCCCTTTGAAGTTCACCTTCCCACCCTAGGCAACTGTTGACCTATGGTCTATTATGAACGTTAGTTTTGCTAGGATTTCATACAGTATGTGGTTCTTCAGTTAGTATAAATGTCTGTAACATTCACCATGTTGTTGCATATATCAGAAATTTATTATTTATTGCTGAGTATATTGTATTGTATTGTATGGATATACTGTAACTTGTCTGTTTCCCTGTTGATGGACATTTGGGTTGTTTCCAGGTTGGGACTAATTTGAATAATGCTTTGAACATTCTTACACACATCTCTGTATGAACATATGTTTTTGTTTCTCTTGGATAAATAACAAGAATGCAATTGCTGGGTCACTGTTGAAAAGAAACTGTCAAACTTTTCAGTGTCTGTACCATTTTATGCTCCCACCAATAGTGTATGTGGATGTCCACATCTTGGCAACACTTGCAATTGGCAGTAATAGGTGATTGAATCTCATTGTAGTCTAATTCGACAATTCCCTGAATGACTAATGATGTTGAGTGTCTTTCCATCTTTGTATCTTCTTTTATGATGTACTAGAGGCCCGATGCATGAAGATTCATGCAAGAATGGGTCTTCCTTCCCCTGGCTGCTGGCATCGCGTTCGCTCTGGCTGGAGTCGCCTTTCCACCTTCCTACACTGCCCAGAGGCCCAGAGTGGCTGGGGTGGTGCAGAATGCCCCTGGCCGCTCAGCGCCTGTGTATGCAAATTAACCCGACAGCTTTGTTGGGTTAATTTGCATACTCACTCCTGATTGGATGGTGGGTGTTGCAAAGGTATGGTCAGTTTGCATCTTTCTCTTTTATTAGTGTAGATTACCTCAAATCTTCTAAGGACCTTTTTTTTTCTTAGAGAGAGAGAGAGAAACATTGATCAGTTGCCTCCTGACCAGGGATCGAGCCCACAACCTGGGTATGTGCCCTGACTGGGAATCAAACCCACCACCTTTTGGTGTAGGGGATGATGCTCCAACCAACTGAGCCACACTGGCTAGGGCTTAAGGGCCTTTGCTTTTACACATTGAAAATATATGGTACTTTGACCCTAAAAACAACAGAAAACCCTTCATATGTGATCAGATCTAGTTGGCATCTATGTATGGTTTTAATAGTGGAAGAATAGGAGAGAGATATCAGTGAAAAATAAGATGTAACTATTTTTGAAAGACTGCATATATGAGATTTATTTTTGAAAGTCCTGGTAAGCAATTACTTAAACAGCGGGATATTTAGAAAAATATGTCAGATGTGTGTGGTGTTTTTTTTTAATGAGTCTTGTGAAAAGGATGAAATATTTCCTAATAACTACAGCAAAGCAGCTGTTTTGTAACATCTGGTGGTGAAAGCCCCTCTTAACTGTATTCTGTACTGGGCTGAGCATTTCAGGTGCTCTCCAGCCACCAGGTAGGCCACTGTCACCAGGTAGGTGCCTACGATGGTCTTCAGACCGGGAAGGCTCAGGGGTGATTTCCAGGTAGGGCATTTTTACCTGCAGATGTTTTCTTCTAGGAAGAAGGGCAGGCAGTTAGCCCCATGCTATCCAGTGTGCAGCCTTGCTGAGGTGATGGTTTTGTTTTTCTGCCCTAGAGGCAAGTTGATTTCAATCGCCAATCCTTTCTTGGCCTATTCTTTTTGCTGTCATTGGATGTCACTGTTGCATATGTGTGTGTGTGTGTGTGTGTGTGTTAATTCTCACCTAAGGACATGCTTAAAGAGGGGAAGAGGAGGGAGGGAGGGAGGGAGGGAGGGAGGGAGGGAGAGAAACATTGATAAGAGACAGAAACATTGATGTGAGAGAAACATCGATCGGTTGCCTTCTGTATGTGCCCCACCAGTGATCGAACCTAAAACTCAGGTATGTGCCCTGACTGGGAATCAAACTGGCAACCTTTCAGCGCACAGGTCAGTGCTCAACCAACTGAGCCACTCCAGCTGAGCTATTCTTTTATTAAACAGGATTTCTTGAGCACCGGTTATGTCTCAGTTTTAGGCACTGGGAATGAGTGGTGATCCAAAGAAAAGAACACTTCTGCCCTTGTGGAGCTCACATTTCTTTCTTCTTCTTCTTCTTTTTTTTTTAATATTTTTATTGGTGTGTTTTTTTTTTCAGACAGGAAGGGAGAGGGAGAGAGAGATAGAAACATCAATGATGAGAGAGAATCATTGATCGGCTGCCTCCTGCACGCCTCATACTGGGAATCGAGCCCCAAACCCGGGCATATGCCCTGACTGGGAATCGAACTGGTGACCTCCAGGTTCATAGGTCGACGCTCAACCACTGAGCCACGCCAGCCGGGCTCACATTTCTCTCAGGGCCACCCACAGCAGGTCTGGGCTCTGGTGGGGGAAATCTGAAGGGTGCCCTAGCTCTTGACAGGCATCCTAGGCAGGCTGGGGCCACCCTCCGCTTCACCTGGCTCCCTCTGCTGGGCTACCTTTCCCCTTTCAGAGGCGTGATTTGAAAATGAGTAAAATATGGTATGTTAGAAGGTCATAAGTGCCAAGGAGAAAGATAAAGCAGCTAAGTGGGGCAGGGAGAAGTCTGCAGTTTTAGACGGGGTGCCAGGAAAGGCCCCACTGAGAAGGGAAGACTGAAGGAAGGACCCACAGAAGGTGCGGAATCCGCTGTCAACTCTCTGGGGGAAGAGCGTTCATTCCCCCAGGCAAGGTGAGCGCAAAGCTCTGGGGCAGGAGTACTTGGCATGGTCCACAGCACCGCAGGCCAGGGCAGTCCGCCTCGGCCGAGGGCGGGCAGAGATGGGCATCAGGCCCTGCGCCACTGGAAAGGCTTTGCGGTTTGCGCTGGTTGCATTGCGACAGAGGTTTTGAACGGAGGCAATCTGATTTGAGAGGGAAGTGGGGCACCTTCCCCCCTCCCACCTAGGACTGTCCCACATACAAAACCTTTGCTAACAGTGTCTGCACAGGGGCTGTAGGAGGAACCGAAGAGCCCTGGGCACCTGTACTGAATAAAGGGCGGAGAGGGGACAGAGGCAGGACGCTGTTGGTCATTCATTGCAAGGCTCGTGTTTTTTTTTTTTTCAGAGACTTGTCTGAATTTTATGTAGCTCTTAGGCTGGTGAAAACAGAAGCTTTTCCTTTATAAGCTTGTATCTCTGTTTCCTTGGCAAAGACCCATCTGCTTTATCCTGATTAGCAGGTTATTCAGTAACTGCCTTTCCTGCTTCCTCCCCATTCGCTGCTTCTTTGAAATAAGAAGTGGGAATTTTCCTCACCGGTAAGTCCTTACATGTTGAACTGGATTGCGTTTGTGTGCTGGCGCTCCCTGGAAAACCCAACTCTCTTACCCTGACGGTGTTTTAACTACTGTTCTTCCTACCTGCAGATAACCTGGTTTTCCTTATGGTAACCGCGGCACCTGGCTGATGAGCAGGGCGTTGAGGCCACCGAGTGAGGCCGGGGCGCAGACCTGGGAAGCAGAGGACGATGACATGGCAGAAGGCGACTTAGGGTACGGCCTCGGGAGAAGGCCCGGCGGTATTTATGAAGTGCCAGTGTCACACTTGGTCACATCTAGAAGAAGATCAGATGAGACGAACTGTAGCCCTCCCCCGTTTCCCAGGAAGGGGGAAGAAAGAAGTGGTGCTGTTTGTCAGCGTTCCAGGCCTCAAGACACATACCGTGAAGGGCCCAGGACCCCCCATCACAGACGACACAGTAGCACTGGTAAGAATGCGTGTCCCCACCTCCCTCCCCACACAGGACAGTGGTCACCAGAGTGCATTTTAGAAATGTTTCTCTATTCACCTCTTGAGATTGGTGATGGTTCAAAGTAATTGATGTTTCTATTTCCAAGAATTGTTCAAATTGCGAAGTACACTAGTTATTCTGCATTAATACACATGTTAGTTATATCAGTGAATACCTACCTTGCTTTTTTTGTGTGTGATATAGTGATAGACTTCACGTATTCCCTTTTATTTTTTTCTTATTCAACAAATATTTATTGGGTACCTATTAGGTACCTGGGACATAACATCATTGTTATGGGAATAACAGCTCTGGGAATAACATCATTGAACAAAATTGTCCAGGGCCCTAATTGTAGTCTAGGAAACAGAATAAACCTACAAATCAGCAGCTGTATAACATCAGGCAGTGGTAAGTGAAGGGATAGTGAGTGATTGGAGGGGCTGTGGCACTGCTATTTTAGGCAAGGGTTAGGGGAGGCCTGCTAAGGAGGTGACATTTGAGCAGGCAAGCCCAGTGCTTATCTGGGGAAGGAGTGTTACCAGCAGAACACACACATTTCTGGTTATTTTAGGGATGTCATGAAATTCTCAAAAATTAGAAAAACAAAATTAATCTTGCCCAGCTGGTGTGGCTCAGTGGTTGAGCATTGTTGACCCATGAACCAGGAGGTCATGGTTCCATTCCCTGTCAGGGCACATGCCTGGGTTGGGGGCCTGATCTCCAGTAGGGGGTGTGCAGGAGGCAGCTGATCAGTGATCCTCTCTCATCATTGATGTTTCTATCTCTCTCTCCCTCTCCCTGAAATAAATAAAAACATATTTTTAAAACACAAAAAATTAATCTTCACTTATTATAACTAAAAATAAATTAAGCTATACATTAAGGAAAGAATAAAATGCAGATCATACTGTGATAGATACAACTCCACAGCGTTTGGGAACCCAAGGATGAGGCCTATGCCTGCGCCGTGGCACAGCTTTTGTGACTGTATCTTTTGTAACCCACATTGTAAAACTTCCCCACCAAAGTGGGACAAACACACATTAGAACAACACAAAAGTAACTTAAGAAACATGATTTTAGATTTACAAACAACATGTTGTAGCTGGGGATCTATCCCTATCCCGCAAAATCCTTCTTGAAATTAGGGTGGGATTATTTATATATTTTTCTCCCAATTTCTTATCATGCATAGGAATGCATACTGTTTTGCAAGCAAGATGTTGAAAACTGAATATGATGCTTTGTAAAAACATGGGGAAACCACTGGGATAGAAACGAGATGCAATAGCAATAGTATGAGCTCTTGTTTTGTTGGGTTATGGGCTTTTATCTTTTATCAAAGTTGACCTGATCTTAGGTAAGAATGTTGTGTGTTTCCTAATAGGTTGTTTCCAAATTACCAGAAATTTAATGGTTTAAAACAAAACACATTTATTATCTTACAGTTCTGTAGGTCAGAAGTCCCAAGCAGGTCTCACTGGGCTAAAATCAAGCCATTGGCAGGGCTGCCTTCCTTCTGGAAGCTTTAGGGGAGAAGCCGTTCCCTGGCCTTACCCAGCTTCTAGGCCGCCTGCATTTCTTGGCCATGGTCCCCTTGCTCCATCTTCAAAGCCAGCAGTGGCTGGTGAGAGTCTGACACTGACTCTCCTGCCTTCCTCTTTCATTGATAAGGACCCTGTGAGGACATTGGACCCACCTGCGTAATCCAGGGTATTCTTCCATCTCCAAGTACATCCCATCTGCAAAGTCCTTTTTGCTATGTATTCACAGGTTATGGGGATTAAGATGTGGGCATTGTCGGGGGCCATTGTTCTGCCTACCACAAGTATTAATAAAACAGAACCTGTCATTGTCCATCCAATGTCACTTTTGTCCCTCCTTTAAAACTTTGTATCATCAGAGTAAAAACATGAAGTAGGTTTTACCTTGGATACTGTCATGTTGATGAAAATTCAGAATAGCAAAGGAAAAAATTGTTTTGAGAAAATTTTAATATTCCTCAAAATATTCTTTCTAATTTTCTTCTTCTTATTCTTCTTTTCCTCCCACTTGTAACTTGCCACTTTAACGTTTTCCTGTTGCCAGTGAGACCGCAATGAAAATGAAGCTCCTAGAAAGCTCAGTGTAATGTCTCAGTTGATCACATAAGGAGAGAATAATTGAAGTTACAGGAGACTGCTAGTCATTCTCATTGGAAAGAAATTAAATTCAGGTTATTTCTTAGCTATTCATATCACTACATTGATCAAATTTAAGCCAACACCAAAACTTATTTAGTTCACTCACCAACATTCATGTGTTTTTGTATTGTGTTTGTATAGTAGTAATATGTAGTAACTGACCCAATTCTTAACAACAGTTTTTTTAAAATATATTTTTATTGATTTCAGAGAAGAAGGGAGAGGGAGAGAGAGATAGAAACATGGATGATGAGAGAGAATCATTGATTGGCTGCCTCTTGCACGCCCCCTACTGCAGATTGGGCCTGCAACACAGGCATGTTCCCTTGACTGGAATCGAACCCAGGACTCTTCAGTGTTCAGGCCGATGCTCTATCCACTGAGCCAAACCAGCTAGGGCAACAACAGTTTTATTTTAGAGTCCTTTTTAAAAGTCTTTTTAGGTTGAGGGGTGGGAGGGGGGTGGTAAGAGATCAACCAAAGGACTTGTATGCATGCATATAAGCATAACCAATGGACATAAAGACACTGGGGGGTAAGGGAGGCTGGGGGATTGTTAAGGGTGGGAAAAAAAGGAGACATATATGTTATGGGTTCACTCAGCGAGATAGACCACTGACTCAGAATTTAAATTTAAGAGCCTTTATTAAGCTGGCCAGCTGACCACAGTTACAGCACCCTGCCAAAGCAAAAGGCTGAACTGTAGTACAGACTGCAAAAGTTACAGCATTTTTATTTGCAAAAACTACAAAATTACAAAGCCTTGCTTATGCAGTTTGTTCCTGACACAGTATAGCATTATCACCTTCCTATCTATGTTTTCCTGGAACAGAGAGCACAGCATATTGAGGAGGGACATGAGACCATATCTCAAGGCCTGACCTGATGTCAGTACCTTCCTATCTATGTTTTCCTGGAACAGACAGCACAGCGCGACCCTTCTGGGTGAAGTGCCAGATATGCAGCCCAGTACAATATGTAATACTCTTTGTAATACTTTAAGCAATAAAACAATTTTAAAAAAAGTCTTTTTATTCAAAGTATGTATCTCTTCATTTGTGAAATATTTTAAGCTACCTATTTTTATCATTTTTTGGTTTATTACAATTCTCTTTGCAATTTAGGGGAAATCTATATTTGATAATTTGTAAACAAATGTCCTTATATTACTAGTTAAAGCAAATGTGTTTTTTTTCTAATAGATTCTAATTCGGAATTGCCAAATGTAGAGTTAAAGCAACGTCTTGATGAAACATTAGAGGTAGGTACTCGAACATAAAAATTCTCATGGGAATAAAGGCCCACTGGTAGATATTTTGTTTAAGGAATCCAAAAATTGTGTGGAAGGCAAATGTTGGCTTTCCAGATATTGTGAAGGAGCCATGTGGTAAAACTATGAGCTGGCCTCCTCAGTTTCTTATCCTCCTCATCTCTCAAAAAGGCTCTTTACGTAAATATGCCCTCCAGTCCCCCCCGCCACTACTGCTTCCCGAGTCTTCTCCTGGAGAAAATAGTTACCACTTCTTTCCATCTGTCTTTCCTGGCTTGAAATAACCTGACTTACTTTAACCTCTTTGAAGTCAAAAGACCAAAGACCAGAAAGTTTGCCAGGTGGCCGAGGAGGTGGCTCCTCCTGCTGGGAGTAAGAGTTCCTGGGGGGTAGGGTGCCTTTCCTGTGTTTGTGACTCCTGTGAAAGCTGCTATACTGTTTCCTGCGGCTGCTGAAACAACGTGCCACACACTCTGGGCTTAAAACAACAGATTTATTCTCTCAGCTCCGGAGGCCAGAAATCCAAAATCAAGGTGTGTGTGTGGGTGCATATTCCCTCTGAGAGGTCTGGAGGGGAATCCTGTCCCTCTTCCTAGCTTCCCGACAGTGCTTGCTTGCTCCTGGCATTCCTTGGCTCGCAGCAGCATCCCTTTAGTTTCCGCCTCTGTCGTCATTTGGCCTTGTCCCCTGTGTGTCCGTGTCCAGATTTTTCTCGTTTTATAAGGACACCAGTCATTGGGGTTTACCCTAATCCAGTGATGGCGAACCTTTTGAGCTCGGTGTGTCAGCATTTTGAAAAACCCTAGCTTAACTCTGGTGCCGTGTCACATATAGAAATTTTTTGACATTTGCAACCATAGTAAAACAAAGACTTATATTTTTGATATTTATTTTATATATTTAAATGCCATTTAACAAAGAAAAATCAACCAAAAAAAATGAGTTCGCCTGTCACCTCTGACACGCGTGTCATAGGTTCGCCATCACTGCATCCAATCTGACCTCATTTTAACTTGATTACATCTGCAAAGACTATTTCCAAATAAGGTCACAGTCACACTATCAGGAGTTAGAACTTGAACATTTCTTTTGGGGGGACACAATTCAACCCATAATAACTACTGTTGCTGTGTGAATACTCGTGTTTCCTTTATGTGGCCTAAGGAATTCTTTTTTCTTTCAAATTCTTAGCTGTGTGGCCTAGATGCGCAAAAGCAAAAGATTTGGGCTTTGAGTTACAAATGGCACCTGAATGTGAGGCTCTCAATTTTTGTCTGTCTGGTCCACTTATAGAGCCCATAGGAATTTCCAACCTCATTTATAAGGTCAGAGTGCATTCAGTCAAACTGAATATGGAGCTTAAATGTAGACTATCAAATTGATCATTTGGGATTGCCGATAAGAAGACTCATTTTATTTCTCTCCTCAGGAGGTAGAAAATTTAAAAACTGAACTGGAGGCCTCTCAAAGACAACTGGAAGGTAAAGAGGCAGCACTGAAAATTCTTCAAAGCATGGTAAGAAGTTTTTTTTAAACTTCCATCACTTTCACATTTCAGTACTATGTTGTATGGTTTTAGCTTTTAAAACAAAAGTAGCAGTGCTTAAGATAATTGAGTTTCTTTTTGAGGTCTAGATTTTTTTAACTGTTTTATTGAAGTATAATTTACATGCTATAAAATTCACTCGTAAGCATACAATTCATTTTTACTGAACTGAAGTTGTACAACCATCACCACAATCTAGTTTTAGAACATTTTTAACACCCCAAAAAGGAACTACATACACATTAGGAGTCACTTCCCATTCCCATCCATAATCTACCTTCTGTCTTATAGATTTGTCTTTTCTATTTCCCATCAATAGAATCATACAATATGTGCCTGGATTCTTTTGCACCTGATTCTTTTAGGTAGCATGTTTTTGAAGTTCAAGCATCGTATAGCCTGTGTCAGCACTTTCTTCCTTTTTATTGCTAAATAATATTCCATTATACAGGTTTGGCACATTTTGTTTATTTTTTTTATCCGTTCACCAGTTGATGGGCATTTGGGTTTCCATTCTTTGGGCGATTTGAATGTTTGTGTACAAGTCTTTGTGTGCAAATCCTTTCGTGCATGCTCACATCCATTGGGGAAGACCCAAACCAAGATCTTCTGACTTCTGAACTATCAAACACTCCACAAAAGGTGGTCTCTGTGGAAATTCTCATCTCAAATTACTTTTCTGTTGTCTTAAAATAAAAATGTAGCCCTAACTGGTTTGGATCAGTGGATGGAGCATCAGCCTGCGGACTGAAGGGTCCCAGGTTCGATTCCGGTCAAAGGCATGTACCTTGGTTGCAGGCACATCCCCAGTGGGGGGTGTGGAGGAGGCAGCTGACCGATGTTTCTCTCTCATTGATGTTTCTAACTCTCTATCCTTCTCCCTTCCTCTCTGTAAAAAACCAATAAAATATATTAAAAAATAAAATTAAAATGTTAACTTCATCATGCCTATAGGAGTGATTAGAAATTTTATTTGTACTGATATGATTTTTATTGTTCCTAGGCAATATTTGGCAAAGCCACAAGTCATACCCAGGCAGTATTTCAAAAAACTGTGGATGAAAAGAGATCCTTGGAGAAGGTATTTGCATTTTTAGCATAGATGTAGTTAATCCAACAAGCTCTCAAACAGAATTTCCTTAAAGGTCACCTGATTAATGGGTATGTTGTTTGTGCACACCCTCTGCTAGGTGTGCTTCACTTCATGTGGTTCCTTCCCTTTTGGAGCCTATAATCCAGATTGTCAAATGGGCAAAGAATTAAGGTTTCTTTTATTTCCTCATTTTAAGGTAGTAGGAGGCCTGCCAAGTTGACACTTCCTATTTTTCTTCTTTTCTTTCTCTGCTTCCAGAGCCTGCCTTTGTCTGGCCACCTCATCTTCACTAAAACAGTAGTTAGGAATCACCCTCGAAGGTCCTGTTCCTGTGCTGGTAGTACTCTCCCTTGATGAAACGGTCCTGGGTTGAGACTTCCAGGAGTGTATTTTGCTTGTGGAGTCTGCATGGGTTAGGGCACTGGTCGGCAAACTCATTAGTCAACAGAGCCAAATATCAACAGCACAACGATTGAAATTTCTTTTGAGAGCCAAATTTTTTAAACTTCAACTATATAGGTAGGTACATTGTTATTAACTTAATTAGAGTACTCCTAAGGCTTAGGAAGAGCCACACTCAAGGGGCCAAAGAGCCGCATGTGGCTCACGAGCCGCAGTTTGCCGACCATGGGGTTAGGGGGGTCGGGGAGAATGATGAGAAATCTAGGTTTGGACCAGCAAATTGTTAACCTAAACAATTTTAAATTTCTCCTATAGTAAGTAAGCTTTGGCAAAGCTCTTTTGAGTGCTAAAGAGGTATGTTATGTGTGTTTACAAATGTCATACTCTTTTTGAGCAATAATTAGTTTTTTTCCTCTTGAACCTATTTCTGTGAAATGATTATATTATTTAGTTCAGCTAGTCACAATGTCCTGAAATGCTATTTTCTTTCTATAGGAAATAAATGCCTTGCAGTGGAAAATAGAATTTGATCAGAATAGAATTAAAAATATAGAGGAAACTTGGACCCAAAAATATGACAGGTTTGTATATTACTATTCTATAGTTTTTCTTTGTGAATCTTTAAAATGTTTGTAATTCAAATGTAGCTTAGGCCTTCTTCTTCCTTGAGCTAACTGTATTATAAAATTCTTATTGCTTGTCCACTTACCAGCTCCATGTCTTTCTGTTAGTTTTAATTTTCTTGTTTAAAAAATAGTATAAACTGTATTTTTATTATTTGTTATGTTTTTATTGATTTTAGAGAGAGAGGAAGAAACTTCAATTGGCTGCCTTCTGCACACCCCCTACTGGGGATCCCGCCTGAAACTTGGGTGTGTGCCCTGACTAGGAATCGGACCAGTGACCTCTTGGTACATGGGACGAATCTCAACGGAGCCATACTGGCCGGGCTAAACTGTATTTTAATTTTTTTACTTTTTTTTTTTGTTATTCCTCACTTGAAGATATTTTTCCATTCATTTTTAGGGAAAGTGGGAGAGAGAGGGAAGACAGAGAGAAATACCAATGTGAGAGAAACACATCGATTGGTTGCCTCCTGCACGAGTCCTGACCAGGGCCCAGGCTGGGGAGGAGCCTGCAAGTTAGGTACGTGCCCTTAACCGGAATTGAACCCAGGATCCTTTGGTCCACAGGCCGACGCTCTATCCACTGAGCCAAACTAGCTAGGGCTAAACTCTATTTTTAAAAACAATGTAAGAGTCATTGTTTCCCAAGTTATTTTAGCATTGACACTATTTTTTCAAACAAAATCTTTTGATCAACTCTTTCATTAGTGTGAATTTAATTTTAATTTTTAATCCTCACCCAAGGATATGTTTATTAAACTGAATTAAAACTTCAGTAAAGAGAATGAATATTCAAAATGGTTGCCTTAGAGCTATTTCTGGTTCTGATTTTTTCTGAGCTGTACTGAAGGGTTTAGAGTATGTTCAAAACCTTTCCACACTCCTTTAAACTGTCTTTATTTTGTAACATCTAAATTCTAGACTTTTGAAGTAGGAAAAATTATATTTATTATTTGTGCTATATGGGATGAAAACATTCTGATATAAGTACAAAGTGCTAATATTTTAGTTATTTGGTGGTTACTTTTTTCCCAGGCTAAACTGTGAAAATGCAGTCCTCAAAGAGACTTTGAAACTAAAAACAGAAGAAATTAAAATGCTGAAGTCTGAAAATGCAAGTAAGAGTGGTATTTTGATGATTCTTTTAAAATATTATGTTAAAAGATTCATTTTATGTAGAATGTCCTATGTTAATAACATACATATCAATAGAGATGAAGTGCTAATATTTAGAAGTAATATATTCTAAGAATAATAGAAGAAATGCATCATTTAGGTGTTTTTAATTTTAAAAATGTTTTAGGTAAAAGTCATGTAACAAAATTACCATTTACAAGTGAACAATTCTCGCCTTAGCTGGTTTGGCTCAGTGGTAGAGCATCGGCCTGTGAACTGAAGGGTCCCGGGTTTGATTCCGGCCAAGGGCACATGCCCAGGTTGTGGGCTCGATCCCCTACAGGGGGCGAGTAGGAGGCAGCCAATCAATGGTTCCCTGTCATCATTGATGTTTCTATCTCTCTCCCTCTCCCTTCTTCTCTGAAATCAATAAAAATACATGACCAAAAAAAAAAGTGAACAATTCTCAGGGGGAGGAGATGGGTGGAGGTGGGAGAGGGTGTATGGGGGATAAATGGTGATAGAAAAAAATAAAATAAATAAAAGTGAACAATTCAGTTGCTAATTACAAAATACTCACAGGTAAGTAAGTCATAGGAAAGTCAATAATATTGTGATAACTATGTATGGTGCCAGTTGGGGAACTAGAATTATCAGGGGAACACTCTGTAAAGTATATGATTGTCTAACCACTAAGCATACACCCCAAACCAATACATAATAATAAATAATTTTAAAAAGTGGAACCATCTAGCTCCATAACATTTCCATCACTCTAAAATAAAACCTCAAACCTATTAAAAATTTCTCCCTATTTCTCCTTTATCATTTAGCTTTTATACTCCATGTAAAATAAATGGTAGAGTACCTGATGTTTGAGGAACCTGAGTAGGTGTAGGTTCTCTTGGGACACTAGTAGGGAAAGTTTGTAAACATATAGTTATTTAACATTAGTTTCTTTCATAAGTGTCTTCTGTGACTTTATCACTAATACGGTCATCCTTAATTTTTCAAGATGATATTTGACTCATTAAGAATTAGAAATTTTTGCCAAAACCGGTTTGGCTCAGTGGATAGAGCGTCGGCCTGCGGACTGAAAGGTCCCAGGTTCGATTCTGGTCAAGGGCATGTACCTGGGTTGCGGGCACATCCCCAGTGGGAGATGTGCAGGAGGCAGCTGATCGATGTTTCTCTCTCATCGATGTTTCTAACTCTCTATCCCTCTCCCTTCCTCTCTGTAAAAAATCAATAAAATATATTTAAAAAAAAAAAAAGAATTAGAAATTTTTTACATTTGCAGTTGACCCTTAACAACACAGAGGGGTGGCCCTAGCCAGTTTGGCTCAGTGGATAGAGAATTGGCCTGTGGACTCAAGGGTCCCAGGTTCGATTCTGGTCAAGGGCACATCCTGGGTTGCGGGCTCGATCCCCAGTGGGGGGTGTGCAGGAGGCAGCCAATCAACGATTCTCCCTCATTGATGTTTCTATCTCTCTCTCCCTCTCCCTTCCTCTCTGATATCAATAAAAATATATTTTTAAAAAAATCTTTAAAATAAACAACACGGGGGGAGGTTGGGGCATCAACCTCCGTGCAGTCAAAAATTCACATATAACTTTTGACTCCCATCCATCTATATTTGTGGGGGATTGGTTCCAGAACCCACTATAAGGGAGATCAAATACTTGTATGCTCAAATCCCCCATATAAAATGGTATGGAGCCCATGCTGGTTTGGCTCAGTGGATAGAGTGTCGGCCTGTGGACTGAATGGTCCCAGGTTCGATTCCAGTCGGGGGCACATACCTGGGTTGTGTTGCGGGCTCAATCCCCAGTAGAGTGCATGCAGGAGGCAACCAATCAATGATTCTCTCATCATTGATGTTTCTATCTCTCTCTCCCTCTCCTTTCCTCTCTGAAATCAATAAAATATATTTTAAAAAAATAAAAAATAAAAATAAAATGATGTGGAACAATGCATACAATCAGCCCTCCATATCCATGGATTCCCAACTATGGATTGAAAACAGTATTTCCATCTGAGGTTGGTTAAATCACCAGATGCAAAATCCAGGGAAAAGGAGGGTCAAATGTATGTTTATTGAAAAAATTGGTGTATAAGTGGACCCACGCAGTTCAAACCCGTGTTGTTCAAGAGTCGGGTGTATATGTGTGCACTCCCCCCACCACACATCCCTTATATAATGAGCTACCTTACGACAAAAATTAATGAAAGAATATTAAAGTGTTTTAAGAATATTAAGGTGGTACCAACTTTTTGTAAAATTCTAAGAGAAGATATTGATTCTCCCTTCTGAACAGAAACTATTTTAAAGTGGTGGCTTGAAGGGGACAAAAATAAGTTCTGAATTTGGTCATGGCCTGAGATAGGCACTTTTCCTAGTGTAGTTGCGTGAGTTGTGGCGATGCCCCGGGTGAGAACACACACACAGTGCTTCTCCGTACCAGTGATTTGAGCAGAGGAGATTTCTCCTGTGTTAGGTTAGTGCTTCAGACAGAAGCTGCTCATGACAACCCCTCCCCTTCCTCCCTCCCACTCCACCCTGCGACAAGAGGGGGGAAGTTACTGTTTTCTGCTCTCCAGTAAATAGCAGAAGTGTTCTAAATGGTTTGAAATCCTCTTGTGAAAATTCTTAATAAAAAATCTGATGGAGTTTGGATCACTGGTATGTTTTCTTGTAAATATATTTTTATTGATTTCAGAGAGGAAGGGAGAGGGAGAGAGAGATAGAAACATCAATGATGAGAGAGAATCATTGTTGGCTGCCTCCTGTCCACCCCCTACTGGGGATTGAGCCCACAACCTGGGCATGTGCCCTTGACCAGAATTGAACCCAGGACCCTTCAATCTGCAGGCTGATGCTCTATTCACTGAGCCAAACCAGCTAGGCCGGATTGCTGGTACATTTGACAAAAAACAAATATGATTATCTCTGGTTATCTCACTATCTACAACGTCTCTGACTAATTTGCCTTTGTATATTTTCTCTTTGAAAATGCTACAAATTTTCCGAGTAAATGAAGACTAGACTTAGGCTGCAAAGTTAAGATACTTCCACTTAGAAGTAATAACATTTTACCTAGTGTTACACATGTATTCTCTCACTCCATCCATACCCACTATTCTATCAGATTTTCTGGATGGGGCCAAATTTTGTGGGCAATGCCTGTTGTGTACGCATTGCTTGTAAGGAATGAGTATAGATGTTGATGTAACAAGATTAGGTGAGACCAGAGTTAGCCCTCATAACTAACACTTTCTTGTATGGCCCTTCCTAGGCTTGAATCAACAGTATTTGGAAGCCCTTGCTATGCTTGAAATCAAACAGCAGAAGATGGTTCAGGAAAACACGTGCGATGCTAAAAGTGACTTTACAGAGTTTTCAGGCCTTGAGGTAGGTAAGCAGGTATGAAAGCTTAGAAGGATGGAAATTTTCTACTTCCCATCGTCACCATCTGTTACACATTCCAGGACAGCACCATACTTACAATTTGAGACTGAAAGGCCCATGTGTTTGTCTAGTTCAGCTCTTGCCTTGCTGGTACCACACCCTTCATGCATGTCATTCTTGGAGATTAAGGGATATGTTAGCCATTTACTTCCTTTTATTCCTTAGTTTTACAGTTTTAGCAGAAGCTATGTTAGTAGGGCCTCACATTATATAATCATAGATTTTTTTTTTAGGAGTGGACAGATGTTTGCTTTTCTCATTGACATTAAAATTCATTCATTTTCGAGTATGCAACTCTCCCTGACAGGAGCCAGCAGTAATGAATGCTGGGCAGCAGGGCCAAGTCCAGTCACAGGAAGTCCACGTTGTGGATGTTAATATTGACTTCACTAGGTCAAGTTCCTGCCAAAGATTCAGAATTATAGGAAACTGGTGCCAGGTTAAAGGTGAAGGTGGAGAGTGAAAAGAAGGAAGGTAGAATTCCATTATGTTTTTTGTCCCAAGTACCAACATTCTTTCCTTGTTTGCATGTAATTAACCTTCTCTTGGATGCTGAAATGCTGGTCTCATTTTTCTTCTGTTTTTCCCCCCCCAATTTCTTTGAATAAAATGCTTGACTAGAAATGTGTGTGGGTATGTGTGGGTGTGCCCCTGCATTTGTGTCCAGCTAAGCAGTGTGACACTTAGTAACAGGGTATTGCTTTTGGATTTAAAGCTTGCGGTCCTTGGAGCCTGCCTTTGTCATGGTCCTGGAGGGAGCCCCTGTTCCTGTGCCAAAATGGCGGCGTCTGCTCAGAAAAGGATTCTTCAGCTCAAACAAGAGGTATCGTATTATCAGAACAGTAAAAGCCTTGGTTTTGTTTCTCTATTAATAGTAGAATAAATGGAAGTATTTTCAATTATTAGCTTAATTTTACTAGTCATTGGTGATGGATCTTATGCTTAGTTTTATAAAATAGCATTAACGTATAAACTGGATATGGTTCCAGAATACAAATAGTATTTGGCATGATACTGTAGCCGCATAAAGTTGTTTGCCTAAGACTGTAGTTAATACTTCCTAAATTCTATTTCTTTTGTTTATACTGTATACTAGAGGCCTGGTGCATGAAAATTTGTGCACTCGGTGGGGGGGTCCCTCAGCCTGGCCTGCACCCTCTCCCAGTATGAGACCCCTTGAGGGATGTCCACCTGCTGGCTTAGGCCTGCTCCCCAGGGATTGGGCCTAAGCTGGCAGTCAGACATCCCTCTGGCAGCCCGGGAGCCCTCGGGGGATGTCCGACTAATGGCTTAGGCCCGTTCCCCATGGGGAGTGGCCCTAAGCCGTTAGTTGGACATCCCTAGCCAGGGGTCCTCAAACTTTTTAAACAGGGGGCCAGTTCACTGTCCCTCAGACTGTTGGAGGGCCAGACTATAGTTTAAAAAAAAAACTATGAACAAATTCCTATGCACACTGCACATATCTTATTTTGAAGTAAAAAAATAAAACGGGAACAAATACAATATTTGTATTTGCATGTGGCCCGTGGGCCATAGTTTGAGGACCCCTGTCCCTAGCACTGCCACAGAGGCGGGAGAGGCTGTTCAGCGCAGCAGCAGTGGCAGGAGCCTCTTCTGCCTCTGTGGAAGTGCACTGACCACCAGGGAGCAGCTCCTGTGTTGAGCGTCTGCCCCCTGGTGGTAAGTGCGCATCATAGCGACCTGTCGTTCCTGGTCATTCCGCTGTTGGGGTCAATTTGCATATTACCCTTTTATTATATAGGATTGGAGGAAAAGGTGCACTTCTACTTAAAATTGCTAGGATCTGCATCACTGATTAATGAGATCAACATGAAGCTTATTAGAAGAGCAGTGAGGTTCAGTGGAAGGAGCCTTTGTGCTACCAAACCTAGCTTTGATCTTAGGTCCATCACTGTCTAGCTCTGGCTCTGGACACATACGTTAGACAAAGGGTAATAACTAGTTTGGAGGGTTGTTGTAAGAAATAGAGGAAGTAGATATATATTTAGCACGTGCCCAGCATTTAATCAAATGGTAGCTGTCATTTTAGCATGGGCCATAATTTTAAAAATATTTTACCTTTACTGAAGGTATGAAATTTAAAGTCTTCAGACTATATGGAAAAGCTAACAGCTAAATATTAAGAATTCATTAGGAGAAGCATATGATTACATAGATCAGAGTAAGGGTCAACTATAGGAGGTGTCTGAAAGATATTCAAAATCATTTTCAGTGGTATTGTCTGGAATGGCCCACCGGAGTACTGAAATGCAGGCTTTGGCAGTCTCCCTTCTCCCTAGTGGGGCAAAACACACACAGGGCATGTCAACGATAATGAAGTCCAAGAGAACTGACAGGCACCACAAGGGGAATTTCTGGTAATCCAGTTCAGAGTGGGCAGCTCCTGCCAACGAGAACGGGCACGTACTAATTAAAGCAGATGAAATAGACCAAGGACAGAGTAGTCACATGCTAGGCAGGGAGATTGCATTAGCTAATCTGACTCAGCATTCAGGCAAGAATTATTCTGGTTTTGCCTCTGACACCTTTCAAACTTTCTTTCAAAACCAGCTGGAACTTTTGCAGAAGAGAAAAGAAGAAGCTTACATAATGGCAGATGCATTCAGAATTGCATTTGAGCAACAATTAATGAGAAAAAATGACCAGGCACTAAGATTGACACAAATGGATAATAAAATGTGTAAAAAAGAAACAAAATGGATAAATTTGAAGCACCTTAAAGAGGATGGTAAATATGAACTATAATGACAAAATTAGGTATAATTTCGGAAGTTTTTGGTTATAATCAAAGTTGATTAAGCATATTTAATACAATTGATAATATAATTAAAATTTTGCATACAGTTGTGATTTAAAATTTTAGTATCTATGGGAAGAAAGGGATCACTGGATGTTACATATGTAGATGAGCTATTGGGATTAACAAAGCCATAAAATAACAGGATAATTGTTGGTACTCTTTTAATGGCATTCCACATTGTCCTGAAATTAACTCCTAAAAGTTTTTGTGACATGAGACTTATAGAGGCCATTAAGCAAATATAATGGTGAAGTCCTCAACAGTACTTTATAGGAAGTACAAAATCAATATTTATATGGTTGTTTTCTATAATTCCTTGACAAAAACTTCCATGTCCAACTCAAGGTAGGTGATTTTGCCAGGGAAATAAGACATAGTCCATGTGTTTAGCCTTTTAGGAATCAGTGGGAAACATTAAGAATATTTATTTCTACCAAGGACAACAACTGTGTGGGCGATCATCCTCGGGCATCTCTTCTCTCCGCTATGCCCTTGATAGGAGCCACACTGCAACTATTTCAAAGGAATACTCTTTGAGGGCAGCATTGTAGGGAGAGGAGTGATGGGAGAAACAGGAAAAGGAGGGGCAGACATGATTAAAAAGTAATCTTATGAAAGCTTGTCACATTGTCACTTGCATAGAAGGCCCGCTACTATGTATGGATATTGGCCATAAGGGTAGTGCTATGTAGACCAAGCTGGGTTTTTAAGAGGTAGATTTGTACTCATTTCAGCACTTGAGTATGGACTCATTTTATTATTTTTTAAATATATTTCTTTATTGATTTCAGAGAGGAAGGGAGAAGGAGAGATAGAAACATCAATGATAAGAATCATTGATTGGCTGCCTCCTGCACACCCCCTACTGGGGACCCAGCCTGCAACCCAGGCATGTGCCCTTGGCCAGGATCGAACCTGGGACCCTTCAGTCCACAGGCTGACGCTCTATCCACTGAGCCATGCCGGCTAGGGTTGGACTCATTTTATTATTATTTTAAAACATATTTTTATTGATTTCAGAGAAGAGAGGGAGAGAAACATGAATGATGAATCATTGATTGGCTGCCTCCTGCACGCCCCCTACTGAGGATCAAGCCCATTACCAGGAATTGAACTGTGACCTCCTGGTTCATAGGTTGATACTCAACCACTGAGCCACACCGACTGGGCTGGACTCATTTTATTTATTTATTTTTTAATCCTCACCCAAGGATATTTTTTTCCCATTGATTTTTAGAGAGTGGAAGAGAGATGGAAAGATGGAAAATACCGATGTGAGAGAAACACATCGATTGGTTGCCTCCTGCACATGCCCTGACTAGGGCCACGGCTGGGGAGGAGCCTGCAACTGAGATACGTGTTCTTGACAGGAATCGAAACCGGGACCCTTCTCTCCATAGGCTGACACTCTATCCACTGAGCCAAACCGGCTAGGGATGGGCTCATTTTATATTCCAGAATTCCTGCCTTTCTTTAGGAACTTTTCCATAGATTGATAGGTGTAGTTCCCAGTCTTTGCTTTCCCTTAAGGCACTGAGAGATTTAGAAGCAGAATTTAAATAATTGATTCATCTCTGAAAAGATGTTACAAGTCCTTACAAGTTTCAGTAACTCTGTGTTTCTTAGTGACAAGATTCTAATTTTACTAGTACTATATTCCAATAATCTGAGCAGGTATAGGATGATTATTACAGGTCATTTTCTTTTGTGTGGTTAACACTGAAGGCATCAACTTTTCTTCTTGAGACAAGTCCTAAGAGAGAGTTTACAAGCACAGGTCCTTTTTTAGGCTGAATGTAGACAGATTCATCCTCTCATTGAAGCTGCGAATGGTCAGCTGGTCTGGTGTTTCCACTTTGCACAGTTGCTCACAGAAGAGATCAGGTGTGAGCCCCAGTCACTGGTTTATCTGCTCTCGGTTTCCCAGGAGACCATTTGCAAAGCATTCCAAAAGCAATCTTGACATTTTCTCTGTATAAATCTATTAATTTTGTACCTTGTACTATAAATTGCATTCTTTCTATGGATGAAGAACATTAGTGCACATATTTCAGGTTGTGGATTTTTCAACATTGTCAGTACCTGGGCTAGATGCTTTCACAACTGTGGGTTTTTTTGTTTGTTTTGCTGGTAAAACAATTACCACCTTAGCCATTTTTAAGCAACATTAAGCATATTCACATTGTTGTGTAACCATCACCACCATCCATCTCCAGAACTCTTTCATTTTCCCAAACAGAAACTGTACCAATTAAATGCTCACTGTCCGCTCTCCTCCAGCACCGGATGCTCTATTATTTAATACCACAGCAACCTTGAGGCACAGGCACTATTCCTATTCTAGAGGTGAGGAAATGAAGCTCAGAACTTGTCCACGGTCATGCAGTTAGTGAGTGGCTAAGTGAAGATCCAAGTCCAGGTCTTCCTGGTTCTAAAGCAGAGTTCACATGGTTCAGAGGCCACTGGCCTATAGATATGTTTTGTGGGGTCTGCATGGTGTTCTCAAATAATGTGGGTAAGTGGCTGACATTTAAAATTGGGAGATATCACATACAAATCTGGATTGCTGGCTCCTCTGGAGGACTTAGATGATCTGGTAGCATGGGCTGCACTCTCTCCCGGGGGCAGCCATTGCAGCCAGCTGAGGAGCGGTGATGCCACAAATGGCAGCGTGTTGCTCTGGATTCTCACTGTGGCCCTCTCCTTGCATTTACTATCTTGGCGCTAAAGCCTGTGCTTTTCCCCCTCCATGGTGCTACCTGACTCACCTGTGTTAGCAGTGTCCTGAGGAGGACAACCTCCTGACCGAGTGAATTAGCCTTGGGTCAACGTACCTCTTTTCCTGGAAGTACTACATCCTAAGTGTCTTTTTATGTCTCAGCTGGATTTTCATGTTTAATTTTAGGATCACTATCACAGAGGACTAAGAAGACCTTAGGGCAGAAACTGTTGGGTATGCTCCCTGCAGAAAACAGTTCTAAGAAGACTGAAGACCAGGATAATCCTCAGGAAGTCTTTAAGATGCTAATAGATTTGGTTAGTATCGTTGCTTTCTTTTTGCTTATTAATTCAACTCTTCCACTCTACACTTAACCTTTCTGCCCCTTCATCTCCTTAAACTCTCTGCATGCTCTTCCCACTTAAGCTCCACCTCTGAAAAAACAGGGCTCCCCATGATTAACTCCAGGCATCTGTCATCTGCACTGAAATGCAGTTTATGACAAGACCTTGTACTTATCCATCCACTTCCTCAGAGATCCTCTAATCACTGCCACATGCTTGAAACCAGTCCTGTTATCCCCATCTCACAGATGACCAAATTAAGAGACTCACATTATATGAACATGCTTATCTATAGGAGAGTGTTAGTTATTTGCATATAAATATAAAAACAATTTTATATTTAACTTCCCCTTCTTTTACAGAGATAAGTACCTGTTGATTTTACATGTATATATACTTGTATATGTATTTCCTCCTCCCTTCAGATGACTTAAAATTTTCAGCAGAAAGAATAGTTTTCTCGCCCTGGCCAGTTTTGCTCAGTGGATAGAGCCTCGGCCTGCGGACTGAAGGGTCCCAGGTTCGATTCTGGTCAAGGGCATGAACCTTGGTTGCGGGCACATCCCCAGTAGGGAGTGTGCAGGAGGCAGCTGATTGATGTTTCTAACTCTCTATCCCTCTCCCTTCCTCTCTGTAAAAAAATCAATAAAATATATTTTAAAAAAAGTTTTCTCTTCTTCCTTGAAAAAATATCCTCCATAACTTGTAGCATGAAGCTTGGGAATGAGTGGACACCTAATTAATTTATTCATATTGACTGACTTGACAGATTGAACATTGTTTAAAACAGTTTGGCAATTTCTTTTTTTTTTTAATATATTTTTTTTATTTCAAAGAGGGAGAGGGAGAGTTATTGATTGGCTGCCTCCTGCACACCCCCTTACTGGGAATTGAGCCTGAAACCCAGGCATGTGCCCTTGACCAGAATGGAACACGGGACTCTTCAGTCCGTAGGCCAACACTATCCACTGAGCCAAACTGGCTAGGGCCAGCTTGAACATTTTGAAAAATGTTTCTGACTATAGTTCTATACTGTTACTTGTTGACTAACTGGTACATGTTTAATTCCTGTGCATGCAGCTGAATGATAAAGAAGAAGCTTTGGCTCATCAGAGAAAAGTTAGCTACATGCTTGCTCGGGCACTGGAAGACAAAGACATAGGCTCAAGAGAGAATAAAGAAGAAAATCCCATGAAAGACAATTTTCCATTAAAACACCCCAAGCAGAAAACTTCAGAATTCTCTGTTTTGCATGATCCTGTACATTCAAGTGTTCACATTTTTAATTCTGTGGGCTGTGTTTGTTCAATCCAACACCTTCATACAGATAAAAACTATAGAAGAACTCTGAAAAGATCTCATTCTTTGCCACGAAATATCATCTTTTGAAGATAAACCAGTTGAAATTAGAACCGAGAACTGTGTATGTCAAGAGACTTTGAAAAAGGATTGTGTAAACATTGCCACATCTTCAGAAATTGTATGTTTTCCGGGTTTCCTAAATTTTAGGAGGCAGCTTAAATACTCAAATGTTTTCTATAAGAAATTTTTTAGTATTCTGTGATGACATATTTATAAATTACATTACTGTATTTTATAAAATCTTCATTATTTGCCAACTTCTTAAAAACAAAAATATTATTTTGAGAAAAGCAAAAAATTATTTACTATTTAGAATGACTATGGGGATCTCTGACTGGCTCAAGCAAGAATATAATGTAAATTAATGCTCTAAGAAATAACAATGCCTACGAGTGATGGAATGTTAATTTTTGAAATACATTTATCATGTTTTATTTGTGTGTGTTTTTCAGGATTTTTCATTTGCCACATAACATTTTTATAAAATTTCCTTAGGTTAATCTTTTATGGTGGAACTTTGGCAGAAGTATATTCAAAGTCACAGCTAGTAACCTTCCTAGTTTTTTGTTGTTGATGTAATGACATTCTATAGCCAAATCTACCAGAATTCTGGTATTCAGACCAGTCTGAATTAACTTCTTGGTTTTGATGCTAAATTTTAGGCCACTTAATTTTCTATTTCTATACATATTACATAGTAATAATCTTTAATAACTTTTGGGAATGTTGCTATATTAGTAGCATCACAATTATGTCAAAGGAAATGTATTACATTACCAGCCATTATAATAAAATTTATCTCATTATCATCTCTAGTGAAAAGATACATGGCTTCACTGAATACTACTTAAATAGGTAACAATAGAGTATAAGGTAACAATATAAATCATTTATAGTTGTGTTAAAAGGAGAGTATTTAATTGGCATTAGTAAATAATAATAAAAGCTGAAAACTTGGCAAATAAACTTTGAAAAAAAGAAGAATGATGAAGAACTATTGTTATCAGATATTAAGATATAGTATCCTGATAATAATATAGAGCTACATTACTTAAAGCAGTGTGGTACCAGCAGGTCAATGGAATAGGATAAAGACCATACACAGACCTAGTATATATAAGAGTTTCATATAAAATGTAAGGTTAAGGAGCCCTAGCTGGTTTTGCTTAGTGGTTAGAGCATCAGCCTGGGGACTGAAGGGTCCCGGGTTCGATTCCGATCAAGGGCACATGGTCCGGTTGCAGGCTTGATCCCCAGTAGGAGGCGTGCAGGAGGCAGCCAATGATTCTCTCTCATCACTGATGTTTCTCTCTCTACCTCTCCCTTCCTCTCTGAAATTTCAAAATAAAAAAATAAAAAATATAAAAATACATATGCATATAAATGTTCTACTTTTAAAATAATTGTGAAAAACTGAAAATAACCTAAATATCCATGTGGTAGAATTCTAAAGACGACCCTTCTCACGATTCCCATCTAGGGACAGTGTAGGTAACTGCCATGAAGAGATTTTTAAGATGTATTTAAAATCCAAGTGAGTTGGCCTTAATATATGAATAACCCGATTAGGTGAGCGGCTCCCCCCACCCCCTTTTTTTAAGGAGCAGAGATTTCTTAGTAGCTGATGAGGAAGACAGACAACCTGAAGCACTGTTGCTGGCTTGTAGATGGAAAGTACCATATGACAAGGCATGTGCACTGCCTTGAGAAACTGAGAGAGGCCCCTGGCTGACAGCTGGGAAGGAAAGGTGGCATGTGCATTAAAGCAGCATGAACTAAATGAACTTGGAAACAGATTCTTCCCTAGAGCTTCAGATAAGCACCCAGTCCCACTGATACCTTGATTTTGGCCTATCTGACCTCACAACTGTGAGCTAATAAATTTTTGTTAATTTAAGCTGTTATATTTATGGTAATTTTTATGCAGCAAAATAAAAACAACAGTCCATAAGTAGAGCATATGTAAATAGTATTGTACACATATATATAATCCTCCTATATAATAAAAGAGTAATATGCAAATCGACCGAATGGCAGAACGGCCAGTTGCTATGATGCGCATTGACCACCAGGGGCAGACACTCACACAGGAACTGTCCCCTGGTGGTCAGTGTGCTCCCAAAGGGGGAGCACTGCTCAGCCAGAAGCTGGGTTCATGGCTAGTGAGTGCAGAGGTAGTGGCAGGAACCTCTTCCACCTCTGCAGCAGTGTTAAGGATCCCCCGAGGGCTCCCGGAGGATAATAAGAGGATGCAGGCTGGGCTGAGGAACACCCCCCCCCCCCCCCGCCCAGTGCATGAATGCTGTGCACCGGGCCTCTAGTATGATATATGATATGACAGCTAAAACAAACTGGATTTATATATATTAACATAGAATAAATTCGAAAGTTTTGAGTAAAAAAATTTGCAGGATGAGGTGTATAGTCTATCACTCACATAAAATTTTGAGACCCAAAACAATGCTGTGTATTACTACATGCAATTTTATAAAATAGCAGTATAAAATCAGGGGAGGACACACTCATCTCCTTAGTCATTCTCCTTTGGGTAGGGTGAAAAGGAAGAAACCGAACAGAATGACATATTAAAGGGACTTCAATTTTATCTGTAATAATTTCTCTTTTTTTCCTATTTAGTATATTAACTAAAGTATTTGCTACATTACTACTATATTGTCCCTATTACTACAACTTTGTGATGTTATAGGAGCCAGATCATCAAAATAACTGGAAATTATTTTTATTAAGATTTCCTTAATGCATTTCAGAGAACTGAACTTATTTTTGCACTCTAATCAGAAAAATCAAAATTAAGTTTGTTTTAAAATACATTTAATAAAAATAATTGTTTTACATATTTTACATGTGTAGAATATTTACAATTCCTTCTATAGCATTTACTTAATGTTTACTATTTTTAAATTATTTGCCGTTTTGACTATTTCCTTCAGTAGTGAAATACTGTCCAGTGTTATCTGTAACTAAAAAATTAGCTTCTTGGGTAATCCTCCTAGGTGAAAAAAAAAAAAGAGGTTGTTCACATTTAAGTTTATGGCAATTTTAAGCAGTCATTGCATTCCCATTACATTTATTTTATTTGCTTTAATTTTTCCAATAGCATTTGTTAAACATTAAGCATACAATGTACCAGTAGGAATTCATGAAGAGAAGGTACACATTGATAGTTCTGGTTACTCTGAGGTACACTCAAAAGTGTTCTTGTCGCCCTAACCGGTTTGGCTCAGGAGATAGAGCGTCAGCCTGAGGACTCAAGCGTCCCAGGTTCAATTCCGGTCAAGGGCATGTACCTTGGTTACAGGCAACTACCCAGTAGGGAGTGTGCAGGAGGCAACTGATCGATGCTTCTCTCTCATCGATGTTTCTAACTCTCTATCCCTCTCCCTTCCTCTGTAAAAAAATCAATAAAATGTATTTTTTTTAAAAAGTGTTCTTGTCCTTTTAAAGAGCATGTTGTAAATATTCTCAAAAGAATTTTTGCAAATGCAGCTAAAAACACCACATTCTATCTGTATTCACTGCATTTCTTATAAAATTGAGAGTTTTACCTTGTTCCAAGGCTTCTGTTCTCTTCCGTTTCGTTGCCAGAGATGGATTAGCCTGCTCCTTTAAAGTTTCCACTGGACAGTTTGGTCTAGGCAGTTGACATCCAGGTGTTGGCCCTGGCCGATTACTGAAATACTTAGTTTTCAATGCCTTTTAAAAGAACAGATAGCAAAGAAAGTAAACTTTTAAGTTAGTATCTGGATTGTGTTTAAAGAAATCTAACCTTAAAATTGTTGGGAATATTAAAAGTGCTATGTGAAGCCCCCTGCTTCCAAAAAATGAAATTAATGTCAAGTATTTAGACAAGCAAATTATTACAAATAAACAAACATCTAGGAGCCCAAGACTGACTGATAATTCTATTACTGTAAGAAAGACACTACCTTTTTTTTTTTTTTTTTTTTTTTTTTAAATATATTTTTTTATTGATTTTTCACAGAGAGGAAGGGAGAGAGATAGAGAGTTAGAAACATCGATCAGCTGCCTCCTGCACATCTCCCACTGGGGATGTGCCCGCAACCCAGGTACATGCCCTTGACCGGAATCGAACCTGGGACCCTTCAGTCCGCAGGCCGACGCTCTATCCACTGAGCCAAACCGGTTTCGGCGACACTACCTTTTAATTTTCCACAATTACACAGTCTATACTAAATATGAAATATCTTAAGATATTATGTAATTCAGCTCTCTATGCAGTGTTACTATTAATGAAAACAACTTTCTAGATAGTTTGATCTGATCTGGAGTTTCATATGATGGAGATAATATGCATATATGTATGGGTGAAAAGGTAGTGAGTTACTTGTATGTATTCATGTAGCATTTACATAAAGAGAGAGGGCTTATAGAAGTAAATGCACTAAACAGTGATCTGGTCATCTGTAATAAACAAGTGAAAAAAAAAGTCCACTTTGTATCCTTGATATAGTGTGTATTAACAAGTTTCATTAGATCAGAAGACTTGACATTTCATTTTAATTAGTCTCTTCCTTTATGAAGCCAAATCATTGCACTGTTACACTTTTACATATCCCTGCCCCGAATTTAAGTGTTTGTGATTCTACCCTTTCTGTTTGTGTGCTTGTTTTTAAACAAGGAAAATGTGTTTTGTTTCTTTTCTCAAATCTATAGTTCTTATATTTTGTGTTGGATAACATTTCTAGAGAGCAGATATACTTGGTCTTTCAAATTTTTCTTGAGTTTGATTTTTTTATTTTTAATATTTTCAAGGTTCATTTGGGTGGTGGCATGTATCAATGCCTCATTCCTTTTTTAAAAAAATGTTTTTATTGATTTCAGAGAGGAAGGGAGAGGGAGAGATAGAAACATCAATGATGTGAGAGAATCATCAATTGGCTGTCTCCTGCACAGCCCCTAATGCAGCGGTTCTCAACCTGTGGGTCGAGACCCCTTTGGCGGTGGAACAACCCTTTCACAGGGGTCGCCTAAGACCATCCTGCATATCAGATATTTACATTACGATTCATAACAGTAGCAACATTACAGTTACGAAGTAGCAACGAAAATAATTTTATGGTTGGGTCACAACATGAGGAACTGTATTAAAAGGGCCAGAAGGTTGAGAACCACTGCAATGGGATCAAGCCCACAATCCAGGCATGTGCTCTTGACTGGAATTGAACCTGGGACCCTTCAGTCCTCGGGCCAACACTCTTATCCACTGAGCCAAACCAGCTAGGGCGAGTTTGATTCTCATTTCCTTTAAACAACTGTCAGTTTCGGTGTTTGTTCTATTTGGACTATTTTCCAATCTCTGGTAAGCACAGTTTTACTGAACGATACCATTTTCTCCCCATTATCACTTTCTGACTGTAATAATGGCCAGTGTGCATATCTGGACTGTATTTTATGGGAAACAAGAAAATGCTTTAGGCATTAGGCTTGGCACAACATTTCAATTATACGTAACATCTAATTGAAATATTCTAGTGTCTTGCTCAGCTGGTTGTGGCTCATTGGTTGATCATAACCTATGAACCAGCAGTCACAGTTCAATTCCCGGTCAGGGCACATACCCCAGTTGCGGGCTTGATCCCTTGGTAGGAGGCCTGCAAGAGGCAGCTGGTCAGTAATTCTCTCTCATCATTAATGTTTCTATGTTTCTCTCCCTCTCCCTTTTCTCGCTGAAATCAATAAAAATACATTTTAAAAAAGAAATATACCAATGTCTTAACAAATACAAACCTTGTTATTTTTTCTTCTCTAGGAAGATTACTTGAAAGCCAATTAATTATGAAATTGGTATGTATTTGTTCCAAATAAACTCTCCTGTAGTTGTACATACATAATTTAATACCAATCTAATAGTGCTTGTAGCTTGAAGATAAAATGTTATTCCTTAAAACAAAAACACATCTTTCCAGTATAATAAACAATGTTAGACAATCTTATGAAATTCTATTTTTATCTCATCAATGCTACAGTTAAGATGATCCTCATATTTCCTAATACAAGAAAGATATGCTAAAATACCTGTGTGGCTGTAATTCGAGTACATGGATTAAATAAGAATAAGCCTTGTATGAGAGCTAGCAAGTCGTCTCCTGCTGCAATGAAGATGTGTTGTAATGGGATTCCAGGGAAACTCTTAAATGTCACGAAATCTGGAAGACTACACATGTCCTGTAAAAATATTTTTATAATTCAAATTTAAAGGATTAAAAGGCATATAGATCTCAAATGAAGAAATAAAACTGTCATGCATGATATAATCTATGTAGAAAATCCCAAGAACTACATTTAAAACTCCTAGAATAACTGAGTAGAGCAAAGTTGCACAATATAAAATAAATATACAGAAATCAATTGTAGTTCTATAGACTAGCAATGAGATTTTTAAAATGCCATTTAGAATCACTCAAAAAGAACAATGAAATACTTAGGTAAAAATCTAACAAAGCACATGTAGAACTATATAGAAAGCTACACAACACCGATGAAGTAGATCAAAGCTCTAAATACATGGTGAGACCTACATGTTTATGGATTGGAAGATTCATCATCATAAAGATGTTAATCCTCCTCTAATTTATACATACGTTTAATGCAATTCTTACCAACACTCTGGCAAAATTATTATATAAGACTAGTGTCCTGGTGCATGGATTCATGCACACTGAAAGGAAATTAATTAGAAGAAATATTTTAATATTGCTATTCGCATCTTGCTAATGAAGAGAAAATAGGATTCTATTGAGTCTCCTACCTACCTACTCCAGGACTTACGTGAGGATCAAATGAGATGAGGCACAGGAAAATGCTTCACAAACATTTGGTTAAACTGTAAAATGTTTGTACCTGGCTATAAAGCAAGTTGGGTTCCTGGGCTGAAGAAACTCCAAGGATGCTAGTCACTAGGGAGAGGAAGCCGGGCATTGCTATGTGATGTCATAATCCGGCACCCACAGCCACCGTTTTCAGACTGGGCTGGGCTGGGGGCCACATTTTGCACCATGGGGTCTTGGCAGCATTGGTTGCGATTTGGTGGGGTGTCACTCCAGGGTGGTGGCTGGCCTGTGTGCCACTTGGGGAAAGCTGAGTGTTGGTTTGTCAGTGCCAGGTCTGTGGTGCCATTTATTTTTAAACTAGAGGCCCAGTGCATGAATTCGTGCACGGGTGGGGTCCCATGGCCTGGTCAGCAATTGGGGCTGATCGGGGCTGTGGGAGGTTGGCTGTAGCAGCACACTGACCGCCAGGGGGCAGCTGCTGCATTGAGTGTCTGCCCTCTGGTGGTCAGTGTTCGTCACAGTGACCGGTTGTTCGGTTGCTTAGGCTTTTATATTTATAGACTAGAGGCCTGGTGCACAAAATCTGTGCACTGGGGGCAGGGGAGAGAAGGGTTCCACAGCCCCGCCTGTGCCCTCTCACAGTCCGGGACCCCTCGGCGGATATCCCTCTCGCAGTCCAGGAGACCCTCGCTCCTTACCGCCTGCCTGCTCGCTGCTCCTTAGCACTGCTGTGGAGGCAGGAGAGGTTCCCACCATTGCCACTGCGCTCACCAGTTGTGAGCCTGGCTTCTGGCTGAGCGGCGCTCCCCCTGTGGGAGCGCACTGACCACCAGGGGGCAGCTCCTGCATTGAGCATCTGCCCCCTGGTAGTCAGTGCGCATCATAGCAACCGGTTGGACAGATGGACACTTAGCCTTTTACATATATAATTCTAAAATTTATATAGGAGCCAAAGGAACTAAAATAGCTAAAATTGAGAGCAATCATGCTATCTGATTTTAAGAGTTAAAAACTGACCCTGACCAAAGTCTCACACCTCATACAAAAACTACCTCAAAGTATTGAAAGTATTACTTTCACCAATAAAGATAAATTTTAAAAAACTAACTCAAAAAGGATCACAGCTATAAATAAATTATATCAATAAATGATAACTATTAGGGCATGTCTTATAATCTGAACACATAGCAAACTTTTAATTAGAGAGTTGAGGAAATAATAGCAGAAAAGAAACTCCTTAGACCTAAATCCAGCTTCAGTTAATTTCATTGCAGAAGGTAGTAGTCTAATTAAAATTACTCTTTTCTACTTATTTCCCAGGAGATGGGGCTATAATAAGAAAAAAAATAAAAAGGTCTATAATTTTAATTTATGAATAAACAAGTAAGGATATTTTACTGAACTGTACATATAAAATTTAGCAACTTAAATTACTAAATTAATCACCAGTACAGTAAAAGACAATGAATACGTTTCTTTAAGGAATATTTACATGACAGCACTATACATAATCCTAACCAAATTTCAAAGAAAATGTATGAACGCTTACAGGCCACTGTTCCTCAGTTGGTGTGCCCAATGTTTCAAATATTCTTGTTAGTTGGTCAAGGTCTGAATCTCCGGGCAAAAATGGAACCTGAAAGAGAGAGGCAGATATTTCAAGGTGTTTTGAAATAGTCATTATGCAAATAAAACTATACATTTAAATAAAACAAAATTATAACAAAAATTAAAATTTAGTCTGAGGTATACTGGATGTGGCATAAGGTCCTGCCATTGCTAACACAATAAACAGCACCACACTTCCCATTTTATTCATTCCACAAATCTTTTATTTTTCCCCATAAATGCAGTCCCCCATACCACAAATTATGCAGTTAATAATTTAAATTAAATAATTTAAGTTGCCGAAACCGGTTTGGCTCAGTGGATAGAGCATCGGCCTGCGGACTGAAGGGTCCCAGGTTCGATTCCGGTCAAGGGCATGTACCTGGGTTGCGGGCACATCCCCAGTGGGAGATGTGCAGGAGGCAGCTGATTGATGTTTCTCTCTCATCGATGTTTCTAACTATCTATCTCTCTCCCTTCCTCTCTGTAAAAAATCAATAAAATATATTTAAAAAATAATAATAATTTAAGTTAAATTATGCAAATTATTCCACATTTGGGGAAACCACAGGGGTGAAATGGATAAGCCTTGCCCTGCCAGGTAAGTATCACTCCACAAATAAACAGTTATCACTGGTATAAATATGTCTATTATTTCTTCTCATTTAACAATAACAGAGGAGGTTCAGAACACAGATCAATTTTCTTCTAAAATGATTTGAACTACATTGATTACTTTGGTTGAATATAGGCTTACTTATTGCTCCTCTTTTTTCTAGTTTAAGTAGCTTTTTAAACCTACTTCTATAAAATTTAAACAAAAGAAAAACGAAACTTTAAAAAGGGTTGAATGCTTATAATAGAAAATCTTTCTATTAACTATTCTGCTTTCAATATTATATAATTATCAATATTATACAATACAGTATAACATTATATATAATTATGTAATTAAAAATGTCATTTATAATTATCTTCTCTATATATAAAAAGCTAATATGCAAAGTGTCCCTTTGGGAGGTTGACTGGGAGTTTGATCACTCGCTATGATGTGCGCTGACCACTAGGGGGTGGCGCGGAACAAAGGAAGGCCCTGGCTAGTAGCTGGCAGCTGGGGAAGGAAGGCCCTGGCAGCCCTGATCACTGGCCAGGCCTAGGGACCCTACCCGTGCACAAATTTCATGCACGGGCCTCTAATATACAATATAACAATATTATGTAACTATTCTGTTCTCAATTATTATCTGTTTGAACTACAGATCTCACCACAGATCTAGAACTGTATGGAAAGCATTTCCATCGATGATATATATTTTTTAAAATATATTTTATTGATTTTTTACAGAGAGGAAGGGAAAGGGATAGAGAGTCAGAAACATTGATGACAGAGAAACATCGATCAGCTGCTTCCTGCACACCCCCTACTGGGGATGTGCCTGCAACCTGAATTGAACCTGAATGCCCCTGACCAGAATTGAACCTGGGACCCTTCAGTCTGCAGGCCGATGCTCTATCCACTGAGCCAAACCGGTCAGGGCATCGATAATATTTTCAATGAGCAAAGGGACAGCTTAAAATACGAAACAGTGCCCAACCAGTGTGGTTCAGTGGTTGAGCATCAACCTATGAACCAGGAGGTCATGGTTTGATTCCTGGTCTGGGCAAATGCCCAGGTTGTGGGCTCCATGCCCAGGTTGTGGGCTCCATCCCCAGTGTGGTCTCACTCAGAGAAATGGTATAGGATCACCGTGTCTGCTTTGCTTGAAGAGAACTAAAATGATCCTCTCACACAAGGTTTAAGTTAGTAACACAGAGTTGTAGCTGCAGTGGTTGGTATTACATAGCTTTTATTTTTTTAATTTTTTAAATATATTTTATTGATTTTTTACAGAGAGGAAAGGAGAGGAATAGAGAGCTAGAAACATCGATCAGTTGCCTCCTGCACACCTCCTACTGGGGATGTGCCCGCAACCAAGGTACATGCCCTTGACCGGAATCAAACCTGGGACATTTCAGTCTGCAGGCCGACGCTCTATCCACTGAGCCAAACCGGTTAGGGCTTACACAGCTTTTAAAGCGTACATTTAAACAACCCCAAAGTCCCAGGAGTACAAAAGTTCATCCTGACACATTTAGCTACTACAGAGATATTACCATGTTACAATCCAATGATGGTTTTATTACAGTTCTATTTCAGAACATAGGAATGATCAATAATAAAACCTTTATTATCCTAAATGGGAAGGGCTGTCATCACACATTAGCATTAATAAAAAGGTTGCATTAGGGGTGGAGATTTTGTTTTAATTGGTTTATTGGCTTTTTGTTGTAAGGATGGTGCTACTCTCTGGAAATTATCTCTAAGAAGATAATTCCTCCACAAATAGTAAAAACAAATACTTATAACAATGTTGAAGTGCGTACAGCAACTCAAGACTTACCCTTAGAAGCAACTCTGCTAATATACAGCCAACAGCCCACATGTCCACACCTACACCATACATTCTAGCACCAAATAGTAACTCAGGGGCCCGATACCACCTGAAAAACAAAAAGAAACATTGTAATTTTAGAGATAACTCAGCAAAACATTATCCTACTAATGAAATTCACTTTTTTCTACGGACTCACCTACAGTCATTTGTATTACTCAATCTGCCTTCCCATCTGTAACTATCCTTGAGGAGAGGGGGAAGGGGAGGGGGAGGTATGAATGAGAGAGAACCACACTAGCCAGGGCTATCCTTGACTGTTTCAAAGCCAATCTGGCAACCTGGGCACTAGACACCATGCTTTCTTGCCTATTTTCAAGGGTACTGCTCCTGTAACTCTCTTCTTTCTCCTATATCAACTTTTGGTTCTTTACTAAACTATTACCATCAATGTACAAACATACCATTATTTCTTTGGCTTTAAAAGATAAACTAAAAACCAAAGAAACAGCCCGGCCAGTGTGGATCAGTGGTTGAGCGTTGACCCACGAATCACGGTTCTATTCCTGGTCAGGGTACATGCCTGAGTTTCCGGTTCGATCCCTAGTGTGGGGTGTGCAGGAGGCAGCCGATCAATGATTCTCTCCCATCACTAATGTTTCTCTCTCTCCCTCTCCCTTCCTCTCCCTGAAATCAGTAACAAAAACTTCTTTAGACTCTATTTCCCCTAACAGCTACTCCTTCATTCTCTGGTAGTCTGAAGAGTTGTCTGCTCTTATTGTCTGCAATTCCTCTTCTCTTACTCTCTCAAATTCATTTCAATCAGGCTTTCATCCTATCACTCCACTAAAATGGCTCTTGTCAAGGTTAACAATGATATCCACATCATTGACCTGTCAATTCTCAGTCCTCATTTTACCTCACCCATTAGTAGCATTTGATTTGAATGAAGAGAAAATATGATAAATTAGTAAATGAAAAACATTGTGTACAGTGCTCTTGTATGTGGGTCCCTATTTGCCTAAGTTCCTGAATGATGGTCTTAATCTTTACAGCAATTACATGAATAACTATTTATATCTCTTTACATCTTACTCGGGGTCTAGGTGATTGACAATGAGATTTGGAAGAAGGTGACAAAGTAATTTAAAGGAACAGATAAAGAAAATGAAGATCTTCTCAGATCCTTAAAAAAATCAATCTTGGGCACGGCCAGGGTGGTTCAGTGACTGAGCATCAGCCTATGAACTAGGAGGTCATGGTTCAATTCCCGGTCAGGGCACATCCCCTGGGTACGGTTAGATCCCCAATAGGGGGCATGTAGGAGGCAGCAGATCAATGATTCTCTCTCATCATTGATGCTTCTCTCTCTCACTCCCTCTCCCTCTCTGAAATCAATAAAAATATATTTTTTAAAAAAGTCTTGGAAATTAACAAATGCCAACCTGATAAGAATTATAAAATCTACTGTCTCCATCTATTTAATGTGATTTTTAATTTTTATTCACAAAAAAAGTAAAAACATAAAATACAAGTATAATAACATGAAAAATCCAAATATCAATGCACTGTTTTGTTCAGAGAATTTTCACTCACACTGAATGATATAAAATATGGAATCAGGACTAACCAATAAAGTAAACATATGCCCCCCTCCAAATCAGGTGATTATGTAAAATACCCACTAAAGTTCCAAAACTACCTAACTGAAATGTAAAAGAAGTATAAATTAGTTTCAAAAGTTACTAGCCTGTCCTGGCAGGTGTATCTCAGATGTTAGAGTGTTGGGTTTGATTCCATCAAGAGCCTGTACCTGGGTTGTGGGTTCGCTCACCCCCCTACCCTCAGCGGAGTACATGCAGGAGGCAACCAGTCTATATGTTTCTCACATTGATGTTTGTTTCTCTCTTTACCCCCCACCCCCTTCCACTATCTGAAAAGCAATGTAAAAAATTATCCTCCGGTGAGGATTAACAAAGCAAAACAAAAGAAAAAAGTTACTAGCCCTAGTCAGGTAGCTCAGTTGGTTAGAGTGTTGTCCCCATATACCAAGGTTGCAAGTTCTGGTCAGGGCACATACATGAAGCAACCAATGAATGGATAACTAAGTGAAACAACAAATCAATGTTTCTCTCACTCCTCTAAAAATCAGTAAATTAAAAAACAATTATATATATTGAAAAATTACTAGATAAATGTTTGAGGACTGACTTAATTCAACTCTTATTTGAATGAAGGGCTGTATTTTTTTCACTGTGGTAAGATATACATAACATAAAAACAGCTGTATTTTCAACAAAACACCAACGATGATGCCAAGGGAAGCCAAATGATGCTCACTTGTGGTTAATATCCTGCACAATATAAATTTCAATTATTTAAGGGATTCTTACCTGGTTACAACCTGATGTGTATAAGCTCTATTGGGGCTCCCAAATGATTTGGCCAGGCCAAAATCTGCCAGCTTTAGAACTCCATTTTCATCTAGCAACAAGTTGTTTGGTTTCAGATCCTATATTATGGAAGTTTTAAACAAACATGTAAGCAGGATGAGGGAGACTACCATAACAAGGCATTTAGTTGGCTTAACTTTAAACTTAGCAAAAATAGGGTAACACCCCAAATTAAACATCAATCAATATTTTTTCATTGATGTAAAATCCTATCAAAGCAAAACAAGATTAGTCATATTACCTAGTGAGACCATGGATCAAGGTACCTAATGTCACTAAACTTTAATTTTCCTACTTTACAGGGTTGCTGTGAGGATTATATTTAATATTTTCTGTAAAGAGCCTAGTGTAATGACTGGCTAATAGTAAGCACTCAATAAATGGTTGCTGCCATTAATTCAATAACAGTAATATATATAAATTTTAGTAAATAAAAACATTATACATTTAGAAAGGATGAGAAACAGTCTCAAAATCTATATTAAAAAGACACTAGCAATAACCTAAAAGGGATTCCAAGTTTTAAGATATGAGAGTTACCAACCATAAACTATATATTCTTAACTATTCACCTATATAGGGTGCCTAAGAACACTTCCCTACCTAAATTATCAGTCTTGTTCTTTTGGAACAATGACTCGACCATTTCAGAAATTTTATTTCATTACTTCATAGAACTTTAGACTACTAGAAATATTATTTTCCTAAAGGTATTTTAGCATTGTATAATTAATCCAGGTTCTCACTGTGTCCCCCCTCCCCCCTCCGCACATACACACTAACAATAGTATAGCACAAAGAACACTGGACTTAAGGCTAAACGATCTAGGTTCTAATACTGTCAGTTATCAGCTACTGACCTTGAAAAATAATATATAACCATAGTCAGGTCACTCAGCAATTTAAATTTTTTTTAAAATTCTTAATTTTTAAAAAATATTAAGGACTCTTCCATTTCTAAATTTCACATAGTAATTTACAGTCCTCACAGCACCACCTGGTGGAACAACTGGAGGGAACACACTAAGAGAGAAGGATAAAATAGTCCAGCTACCTCTTTAACAATTTACATGTTCAGATCATTTATGTAACAAACTAGTTAAATAAAACTTAACATAAAGAAGTTATCACACTTGGTTAAAAACCTTACCCTATGTAGAATCCAATGTTGATGTAAATACTCTAACCCTTGAAGAGTCATCAACATGTAGGCTTTGATGTGCGATGGTGTTAGGACAAGACTATTATCCTTTATTATAACCTGTAAAACAGGTATACAATATACAGGTAACTTTATTATCACAAATAAATGCCATCATATAAAATCATTTACAGACATAAAATGAATTTATTTATACAGGAAAATCTCAAGAAAGGTTGCCTAACTCTCCTTAGGAAGGATGGTCAGAATTTCCAGTCACGTGGTTAGGGGAAGTATCTTTGGTTTGGAAAGCAGTGCTTTGTCTCCTATTGCTTTTTTTCCCCCCGACTTGCCCCAGGATGTATAGCCCCTTCTGGTAATAGCATTTAGAATTCTTTTGGGAAGCCACCTGTTCCCACCTCAATCTACATGGTTAAAAATTCACTGACCACCATCTATGGCCTCTAGAAGTAGGCTCATGACCCAAGCATAATTAATCACCACTGCTGTCCAGAGATTGTTCAGGGATGGACATGTGATTCAAGTAAAGCCAATCAACCAGACCAAGTACTTGTGCTAGAATTAAAAAGAACAAAGAGGCAATGGGGGGGGGGGGGGAGTGGGGAGAGATTAACCGGGGAATTTATATGCATAACCCATAGATACAGACCATAGTGTGAAGGCCTGGGAGAGGTGGGTGCAGAGTGGAGGGGGTCAATGGGGGGGGGGGGATAATCAAAGAGGACATCTGTAATACTTTCAACAATAAAGATAAGCCTGGAAGTATCTGAGCCACTATACTGAGAAATTATGCCCATGAATGAAGACAACAGAGAAGAAAAGAGTGAGTTAAAGTGCAAGACTGACTTCTGATGGCATTATTTGTGAACTGTGTCTAAAACTAGTTTATTCGTAGACTTATCAGTTACATAAGCTAAAAAATGCCCATTTTCTTTTTAAAAAAATCAAATTTAGGTAAAATGTACCCTTTCTAGAGCATAGTTTCATGAGTTTTAATGAACACACCCAGTTGTGTAACCACAGCACAATCAACATACAGTTCTATAATCCCCCAAAAGTCCCTCAGGCCCCTCTGTACTCAGTCCTTCATTGTACTTCCAACCCCAGCAACCACTGATCTGATTTCTGTTCCTTTAGTTTTGCCTTTCTCAGAATATCAGATAAATGGAATAATATAACATATAGCCTTTTGAACCTGGCTTCTTTCATTTATATAATGTATTTGAGATCTGTCTAAACCGTTGCATATATTAGTTCATTTCTTTTTATTCCCAAATAGTATTCCATTGTATGGAGATACCATAGTTTATATCGGTGGTCGGCAAACTGCGGCCCCTTGAGTGTGGCTCTTTCACAAAATACCACGTGCGGGCGTGTACGTACAGTGCGATTGAAACTTCGTGGCCACACTCAAGGGGCCAAAGAGCCGCATGTGGCTCGCAAGCCACAGTTTGCCGACCACTGGTTTATATATTCACTGAATGGAAGATATGTGGGTTGTTTCCACTTTGGGCAATTATGAAAAGCTAAATATCTGTGTACCAGTTGGTTTCTTTGTTTGTCTTGGGTAAATATCTAGCAGTAGTATTGCTTAAATATACTATTTTACTGTATAAGGAACTGCAAAACTATTTTTCAAAGTAGCTATACCATTTTGCATTCTCTCCAGCACGAAAATTCCAGTTGTTCCATATCCTTGGATTGTCAGTTTTTGAGATTCAATTAATATTAATGAAAAGCATACGATCTTATTTTTCTCAAAAAGAAACTTGACTGATATTCTACAAAAATATGAAAAAGCAGCTCTGAATTTTCAAAGGCCTAACATTAATTTCTCTGAAAATAATGTCAATAAGGGAAAGGGTAACTTGGTAGACCAATGCTAATGAAATCCAAATCTCTGTATTAAATACTGGGAATATGGCTAAATGGATCAGAAGATCCTAGATTTGAGATTATATTCAGATTTCAAAGTTAAGCATTCTTTTGATTACCAATGACTTCATAAGTGGAATAAACATTTAGGTTCTTTCTTGATAAAGAGAGAAAAGAAATTCCTCTAGGAATCTTCACCTTACCTCTAGATCAGTTTCCATAAAATCAAAGACAAGGCTAATATTAGATTTATGTCCAAACGCATCAAGGAGCTGCAAAGCAAAATTTCAAAAACATAAAAATGTGATTCTCTACGAAATACTTGACAGTATTACACCAACTAAGTAATTTTTAAAAATTTAAAGAAGCATTTGGACAGTTGATAATTCCCTGTAAAGTTTAAGTAATTTTAATAAATTTGACATTTATTTTGTTTTTGTTTGCTAGGAATTTGTACTTTAAGGCACAAAAATATTTAACTTTATTATTATTTTTTAAAGTTACTAAATACTTAACCTCTCCCCCCAAATTTTGGGAGTTATAATTAAGAAATGAATTGATGAAAAACTCACCTCAGTCTCCAATTCAGAAAAATTCCTACCTAAAAAAATCCTATAAACCACAGTAGAATCTATCACAGTGGTTCTCAACCTTGGCTGCACATTAGAATCACCTGGGAATCTTTTTAAAATCCTGATTTCTGGGCCTCATCCTCCGGAAATTCTGTTTCTTTGTTATGGGGTGGGGCCACAACATTAGTAACAAAGAAATAGAATTTCTGGAGGATGAGGCCCAGAAATCAGGATTTTAAAAAGATTCCCAGGTGATTCTAATGTGCAGCCAAGGTTGAGAACCACTGCTCTAAGGTATGGCACAGAGTTGTGCTCAGGGTCTTACACATACTAGAGCTCTCTAGGCTTCAAAATGATTTCTGACAAAATTAGCCTGTATACCGAAATTTAATTTATTTCATCTGTTGCATAGTTTTAAAAGACGGGGCCTAGAGGAACAATTAGGATAGGAAATACTAGCCTGATAAACTTTTAAGCTTTTCTGCAAAGCTTGCTTAGAACAATTCATTTTGCTGGGCCTTCAGTCAACATACCAGAAACAACTTAGATCATACTTACACCAATTATATTTGGATGACTTAGCTCCTGTAATAATTTTATTTCTCTTAAGGCTGTTCTATTTATACCTATATAAAAACACAAAATAAAAGGTGAAAAATAATTCTCAAATCTTTATATTGCTTTTATTTTTTAAAATATTTTAAATGATTTTTAGAGAGAGGAAGGGAGAGAGAGAGAGAAAAGAGACACATCAATGTGAGAGCAGAACACTGACTGGCTGCCTCCTATACAACCCCTACCAGGGATCAAGCCCATAACCTGGGCATGTGTCCAGACCAGGAATCAAACCAGCAACCTTTTGGTGCACGTGATGATGCTCAACTAACTGAGCTACACCAGCTGGGGCTTATATTGCTTTATTTATTTTTAAATATGCTTTTATTGCTGTTTAGATAGAGAGGAAGAGGGAGAAATAGAAACATCCATGAGAGAGACACATTGAATAGCTGTGTCCTGCACAGCCCCTACTGGGAATGGAGCCAGCAACTCAGGCATGTTCCCTGACCAGTAATTGAACCTGGGACCTCTTGGTCCATGGGGCAATGCTCAATCCACTGAGCAACACCAGCAGGGTGATACTGCTTTATTTTTAAAATAGCTTACATAGACCAAGATAAATGGTGAAAAAAATATTCATTTTACCTGTGGCATATCAGTGCTGAAATAACAACACACCTAAGGGTGTAGCATATAGACCAGAGGTGGGCAAACTTTTTGACTCGAGGGCCACAATGGGTTCTTAAACTGGACCGGAGGGCCGGAACAAAAGCATGGATGGAGTGTTTGTGTGAACTAATATAAATTCAAAGTAAACATCATTACATAAAAGGGTATGGTCTTTTTTTTTTTTAGTTTTATTCATTTCAAACGGGCCGGATCCGGCCCGCGGGCCGTAGTTTGCCCACGGCTGATATAGACGCTAAATTACAGCTCCCTTCTCTTGCCCTATGAATATTAGCAGCAGATTCTTTATGCTAATAGCAAACGAGTGATAAGATAGTATCTTTCCCAATGCAAAGGCTAGAACTCAAAATTAGCATTCTAGAAAACAAGGCTTTGGAAGGGGGATGAAGAGTTCCATAGTGAGCTTTGTGTACTTCCATGAAGGTATACCCTGAATTTTCAAAGTAATTAAAAGCTCAGAAAAATGAAGAAACAATGATTTGTAACAACACCTGAAACAGTAATGAAGACAACCACCAGATAAGCCACTAATAACCTTGCTGCCTTCCATTTTCTGAAGTGACTTGAATGTGCTTCTCTACATCCAAATGGTGGAAGTCACAAATATCCTGTCTCTATCCTGAGTCTACCTTTACTCTGCAATGACTCTACCCAGACCATTGTTAACTCTAATTAATACTTTGCTCATTCCTCAGTGGGAATAAAAACCTTTCCTGTTCTGTCAAATTAAATGAAATAACTTACCATCTTTAGCTTCTGATCTATGTCCAAGTTTGATCTGGTAGAGGAAAAAAAGAACACATTAAAAATATGTTAAGTTAAACAAACAACAAGTGCTGGAGAGGATGCAGAGAAAAGAGAACACTCGTGCACTGCTGGTGGGAATGCAGACTGGTGCAGCCACTGTGGAAGACAGTATGGAGTTTCCTCAAAAAGTTAAAAATGGAACTCCCATTTGACCCAGTGATGCCACTTCTAGGAATATATCCCAAGAAACCAGAAACACCAATCAGAAAGGATATATGCATCCCTATGTTCATAGCAGCACAATTTACCATAGTGAAGATCTGGAAACAGCCTAAGTGCCCATCAGCAGATGAGTGGATTAGAAAACTGTGGTACATCTACACAATGGAATACTATGCTGCTGTAAAAAAGAAGGAATTCTTACCATTTGCAACAGCATGGATGGAACTGGAGAACATTATGCTAAGTGAAATAAGCCAGTCAATGAAAGAAAAATACCACATGATCTCACTCATTTATGGATAATAAAGACCATTATAAACTGATGAACAAAAATAGATATAGAGGCAGAGCAGCCTCGAACAGACTGTCAAACTACAGCAGGAAGGCCGGGGAGGGTTGGGGGGCGGGAGAGGGGGTAAGAGATCAACCGAAGGACTTGTATGCATGCATATAAGCATAACCAATGGACACAAGCCACTGGGGGGGTAGGGTAGGCTGGGGGAATATCAAGGGGGGGGAGGGGAGGAGACATATGTAATACTCTTTGTAATACTTTAAGCAATAAAAAAAATGTTAAGTTATTTAGACTTAATGAATGTGTGTGTGTAATACATACACATGCATACTTAAAAAACTCAGCTACAGCAAAAACATTTAACAACTAATATGTATTTAGTATTAGTAATCAAGAAGGAAGTGTGTAATCATTAATCAAAAAGGCAAAAGTAATATAAGAAAGAATCAAGTACCTACTATTCCTTGTCCTTTAAGTTTTTGAAGTACATATTCAAAGCAACTCAAGCCCTGGCCGGTGTGGCTCAGCTGGTTGATCTTTCTCCCATGCACTGAAAGATCACTGGTTCGATTTGCAGTCAGGGCACATGCCTGGGAGGCAGCCAATTGAAGTTTCTCTCACACATTGATGTTTCTCACTCTCTCCCTCTCCCTTAAATCAATAAAAACATTTTTTTTAAAAAAGAAGAACTGCAGTGGAGAAAGATTATTTTATTATGAATGGCACCACCCAAGAGAAAGGGAAGCTAATACTTAAAAGCCCAAACTCCCTGATGGCATGTAGGTTACAGATTATATAGGGCAAAATGATAGGACACCGTGGGTTAGGAGTTAAGGCTGGTGTTGGGAGCTGATTGGTTGGAGGGGAGGTAAGGGTTAATACATAATTTCTTCAGGTCTTGAGGTCTGCTCTGGCATCCCTCCATCTAGTTTCACGGAAAGGTAGCCAGGGGGTTATTCTACCTTAGGTCTCAGGAGCTGAAACAATTTAGGTCAAGATATTATCTTCAGCTTACGGTAACAGAAACACATACCTTGTAACCCTTAATCAAGGTATGACCATCGTTTCTGGCTGCTTCAGAATGACTAGTAAGGAAAAGGGCTAAGCTTTTAGGGCATTCTGTAAAGAAACTGAATAGAGTGCTGGCATACATATTAGGACCCTTGGTTTCACTGAGTCACCTTGAAGGGGTAAAAGTCTATCCCAGAGAAACAGGATGGATTTTACCCTAATTTATGTTAACAGCAAGCAAACAAAAAACCCCACTTGGACTTTCAGACAACTATAGCACTCAATATGCCAATAGTTTGAAGAGATTGGATCAGTCAGTTAAGTGAATACATTTTTTAAAATTTATCTTTGTTGTTGAAAGAAGTGAATACATTTTTTTAAAAATATATTTTATTGATTTTTTACAGAGAGGAAGGGAGAGAGATAGAGAGTTAGAAACATCGGTGAGAGAGAAACATCGATCAGCTGCCTCCTGCACACTCCCCACTGGGGATGTGCCCGCAACCAAGATACATGCCCTTGACCGGAATTGAACCTGGGACCCCTCAGTCCGCAGGCCGATGCTCTATCCACTGAGCCAAACCGGTTTCGGCAAGTGAATACATTTTTAACGAGTGTCTACAAATGTACCAGCCATAGTGTCTAAGTATGATTTGAATAAAAGTAAGTAGACAATAAACTCAGAGATAAAAGCATTTCAGGTTTTGATAAATGCTATGAAGATAACAGAGAAATATGGTAAAGAAGACCAGGGGAGGAGGGAGGCACGCCTGTTTTAGCTACAGTGACCAGCAAAGGCCTCTAGGTGAAGAGACATTTGAGTGTGATCTAAGTGATAATTAATCAGCCATGCCAAGTTTCAGAAGAAAAATATATTAGCCAGAAGGCAGAGCAAATGCAACAATCCTGGGGCGGGAATAAATTTCGTGTTCAAGGAATAGAAAGGCAGTGTGGCTTGAGTATAGAAAAACAGGAGAATTGAAAAGATAACTTTAGAAAGGGTCAGGAGAGTTGAGGGTTTTACAAAGGAGTAGCTGGTGCTGGATTATAGAACATAAACTGGAAAACAAGATGAGAGACGTCAGAAAAGGTCAGGTGGAGGGCACTTACCACATCAGCAAGTCTTGAGCAGCGAGAAAAACAGCCTCTCCTTGAGAGGGTTACTGATTTCAGGGGCACGGGAAAGAGAATCCACCCGCAGCAGGGCACCTGGACCTAACCCCTCGCTTTAGCCACTACTACCCACACCATCTTGACAAGTCACCTCATGGCTCTCAGCCTCAAGAACCTCAAGTGTGAAATAAAGACGCTTACTTTAGGAGGCAATTCTGAGGGTTAAATGAAAAACGTTGGTGAAAGCGCCTGGCATACAGAAAGCTAGCTGAATAGAATCTAAATTTCTTGAGTGGATGCAAATAAAAAAGATACTAAAACCAGTTTTAAAAACACATGCACATCCATGTTGTTAATGTCGGCGAAAGCCTTTTAGGGTAAATCTGTCCACAGAAAATAGATACGATACACAGAGTGGAGGCAGGTGAGGCGGAAATAGCGATCCAGGGAGATACTGACATTAAGTGGTTCGTTCCGAGGACCTAGCAGATTGACAGTTATTATCCCCTTCGCCAACTTGTGAGTTTAAAAAGCCAGCATCCAGCTTCCCTTTCATGTCAATGTCAATTAACGGCACAAAACCCTAGTTCAGCCCTGGCCGGTGCGGCTCTTTGATGGGGCTTCCTCCGGTGCACGGACGGTCACCCGTGGGACAGGAGCGGGTGGCGGGCTCCATCCCCGGTAGGGGGGCGTGCAGGAGACAGCCCACCCAGGTGTCTCTCTTTGATGGTTCTCTCCCTCCCTCCCTCCCCCTTCTTCTCTCTAAAAACCACTAGAAACCCGTTCAACCCGAGTTCTCTCTTGGAACACAAGACACGAACAAATTCTGCGTCCTTTGACAATGACTTAAGGAACTCATCCGCGGAGCAAGGCCTAGACTAGTAAAATGGCCAGCCCCCGACTCACACATACCCCCGTCTCCCCAGAGACTCAAGGAAAACAAACGGCAACTCACCTTCTTGATGGCGACGATTTGGTTGGTGTTCTTGTCTCTGGCCTTGTAAACCGTGGCAAACTAGAGAGAAAAGCAAAAATAACCCAAGCGCGTGGGAAGGTGGTTTGTTTGTGTCTGCCTTTTCACTTTAGGTTTTGGGAAGCCAAGAATCAAGGGTTCCAGGAGCGGACTCCGGGCGGCTGGAAGCGTGGGGAGGGGGGGGGGGGGCAGCCCACGCCGCTTCCTGTCTGTGGCCGAGAAGGGAGAGGGCCGCTCCGGGTGGGCCGGGGGGCAGCGGCGGCCAGGCCAGCCTCGGAGGGCACGCGAACACCGGGGAAGACGTGGGGCGACCCGGCGCTCTGCCCGCGGGATGCCCCGAACCCGAGAGCCTCACCTGTCCCTCCCCGAGGAAGTCCAGCTTCTCATAGCGCTTTGCTCGCGACTTCACGTCCACAGCCATCCGTCACGCGAAGCCCGGCGCCAGCCGTAAAGGGCGAGCTCCCCGGACAGAGGGAATTTAAAGCTACTTTAAAGCCTCCAACAGCCACTTCCGCTCACCAGGCTCCGACGCTTTGTTAGCCCCGCCCTCACTTCCGGGGTGGGCGTGGCCCTGCTAAGTAAGTTCGGCCCCAAGGAGGCTGCGCGGAGCTGGGCTCCTGGGCTGTTCTGCGCAGCTCCCCGCCCTCTCACGTGCTGGCCTGTTGGTGCCGGAAGCCGGGTGTTTTAGGGTGGTGCCCACGCGTGTCACCTTGTTACCGTTTTAACTTAAGATTATTTTCTTAACTACCGCGGCGGGTCAACGTTCTGCTACGGTTCTGAGTCCGGAATTTAATAGGTGTGTGCGCGTGTGGCAGGCTCGGCCTTCTCCCTCATCTCCCTTTCTGGTTCTAGGTCGTGGGTGTTCTGTCGCTATGGTTGCTATGGACGCCTGGCCCCGCAGGCTCAGGTTACTTAGACGCCTGGCCACTTCTTCAGGGCTGGTCAAGAGGCGTTCTTGTTAGTCCAGTGCTTTTATGAAGAAGCACACGCAGGGAAGCAAAATCCAAGTCAACTGAAGGATTTTGTGCTGTGGAACAGACTTATGGTCATCAGTGTTCTACTCCGTGAAGTGGAAATTATAGACTACATCACAGGTGGTTGTTGTTATGCCCAGAGTTCGGGGTCCCCAATAATTCACCACCAGGGAGCCTCTTCCGATGCAATAGCAAAGAGTCGTTTATTCAAACCCAGGTTTGGCTCCCGGTCTCTGTCCGACGCAGCGGTGAGACGAGAGAGCGTGTCCCGGGAGAACAAAGGTTATATAGGGCAAGTTATTTGGGTGGGCTTTAGGGGTGACGTGAGTTACAGAGATTGGTCATTTAGGTCAGAAGGGTTAGAGATTGAGGTGACCAACACATTCTGAAGGTTAGAGCCGTCCTCCTCTTCAGCCTTATTAGGACCTGAGCTGCATTTCTGGAGCTTCATTGGTCCATTCAGGTAGTGATTGGGGGAGTTAGGACAATACCAGCATTCTTGCAGTCACTCTCAGAAAAGCGGGGGGGCGGGGGCTTGGGCTGAGGGCCCAGCCTTGTAAGTCAACTGAAGGATTTTGTGCTGTGGAACAGACTTATGGTCATCAGTGTTCTACTCCGTGAAGTGGAAATTATAGACTACATCACAGGTGGTTGTGAGGATTAAATGAGACATGCAGAAAGGGTGACATGGTAAATGCTCAATTAAGTGTTAGCTGTGATCAATACCCATTTTCCCCATGAGTTTTCACACAAATTAACAAATTATACATATTAATTCATTTATTCAATAAATATTTATTGAATATGCAAGGCTCTGTTGTAGACTGAGAAATGAGCCGGAAAAAAAAAAAAGACAAAAGATTCTTGCCTTCAAATGGGAGTAGTTAACAACCAAGTAAAATATGTTATGATTTTAAAAATGCTATGATACATAGTTATAAGTGCTATAGAGATAATAGAGCAGGGAAAAGAGAGAGATATTAGGCTTTTCAGTTTTAAATATGATGGGACAAGACAAACATCAGTTTTGAGCAGACAAATATGATCCGACCATGTTTCCAAAGGTCCACTCTGGCTGTTGTGAGACCAAACTTGGGGTGGGGTGGGGGAGGTGGCAAGGAAAAGCAAGGCCAGGTAAGGAATTACTGTGGTAATGCAGATGGCTGTATTAGATGGTACCAGTTTTTCTAGCCAGAAGGATTTGCTGACAAACTGGATGTGTTGGGTGAGGGAGTAAGGAAAGCATAATTCTAAGGTTTTGAACTGGGGCGTTTGATGTTTGTAGGACTTGAGAATCCTGATTTTTCAGTTAAGTTGCCAAAGGAGGAATACCAAGGCTCATAATTTAGTAAACATAATATAGTGTAAAGATTGAGTCATTGCTGTGGGTCTAAACTGCCCACATTGACTCCTAGGCCAAATATTCAATCAATAGATATATAACTTGGGCAAATGATTTAACCTTTCTGTCCCTAGATTCCTCCTCCATAATAGGACCTAATCATTGGGTTGCAGCAAGGCTTAAGTAATTTCACACTCTAAAAACCCTTAGAAAAGTGTCTGATAGTCTCAATTTATGTTAACCATTACGTAACTATTGTTGGTTACCTCCCAGCTCTTTTCACTATTTGGGTCTTTATTGAGCTCTGATATGTTCATAGGCAAACTTCTCATACACAGAAAACACACCATCTTTATCACTTAATTCTTAATTTTTTACTTGTGGCAAGTCATACCCAATGATCCATGGTGTGACATGACTTGGCCAAAGTTTCTTTTGAAAGACATCACTGTAACAACTAACTTCACTTTTAGTAAAAATAAGCTAAGTAGTGAGCTAAATTTGATGGTAGCCCTGTGAGGCTTGAGTGTGCTATGGCATAAACGCACTTTCACACATTGGTAGTAGCCATCTTCCAAGATGGTCCCAATGATTCTTGCCTTCTAGTATTAATGAACTGAGTAGATTCCTCCCACAATGAAACAGGCTGTTATATGGGACCAGTGGAATATGGCAGAAAATGTAACTTCTGAATTTAGGCCATAAAAGGCATTAATGCTTCTGTCTTTGTATGCTTGGATGATTTACTGTGGGGGAAGTCAGTCAACATGTCATGGATTTGCTCAGGCAGCCTTGTAGAGAGGAACTGAGTCCTCCTGTCAACAGCCAGCTTCATTCAGCTTACCAGCCATGTTAGTAAGCCACTTTGGAAATAGATCGTCCAGCCCCAGTCAAGCCTTCAGATTAAGTACAGCCCCAGGTAGCACCTGATTGCAACCTCATGAGACACTGACTGAGCAGAACTGCTCAGCCAACCTGCTCAGGAATTCCTGACCCAGAGAAAACATAAGCTATTAAGTGATTATTGTTGCTTTTAGCCACTAAGTTTTGGGGTGACTTGTTACAAAGTAATAGATAGTACTGGAAAGGAAAACCTAACGGTGGCCCTCAGACAGATCCAGTATTAGGCCCACAGTATTACTCAAGCCACTCTTTATTACCTGAACCCACTGTTTCTGAAAGTAAAAAAATTTGCCCTGGGCTTCCTTTTACTGAAAAAAAAAAAAAGTTAAGGGGGGTGGGAAAACAGTGGTAGTTTTAAAGAAAAATCTTCCAAATAAATGTAAATAACACACCAAAAAACCATGAATTTTGTATTTTTTGAGTCACCAAAGCAGTGTATTGTTAGCACCAAACCCTTGCCTCAAATTTGAGTTGGGCAACATTTTTACCACAACACAGAATTTGCAAGAGAAGCAGATCAACTCTAGAATAGTGAAAACAACAACAACAAAAGCAGATTAACCCATAGGCAACTGGGCAATACTCAACAATTCTACTCATCTATTGCTTACAAGCTACCTTTACTATGAGAGATGACTTCTTTAAAGCATATTCTAGAAATCATTAATGGTATGGAAGAGAATTTATATAGCTTTGTGAGGCTTTACTTTCACAATAATATACCCTTGGCACAGGAAGACCCTTTAAGTCTCATAAATTGCTTAACAAAGTAAATATTTACGTTGACTTAATGAAACTTTCAGACATTAAGTTTGAGAAAGTTAATGATTAGCACAATTGCATACATTATCACAATCCAAACAGTAAACCAAAGAACAAGATTTTCTTAACACCCCATAAAACATAAGAAATAGCAATTTCTACTCAAACATTATACCTCTGCTATATTTTTATCTGATTTTATACTGGCTTTTTTTTTCTTTCTGAAAATAGCTTACTATTAATCTTTTGTGTTAACTCCCTAGTCTTAATACCCAAAGCTCACTGGATATACCTTGGCTCTATTTTTATTTAGTGTAGGATGTGCTTACTAAGCCAGTTATACTCCAGTAACTTTGTGAATGAAAAAAATGCTAAGAGAATTAACAAATAATGGAGTCATTATTTCACATATCCTCATCCAATTTCAGGAAAATCACTTCCAAAAAGCAATTCTGCCTGAGAAACTAATGTCTAAACAGAAACCAAAAGGAAAGTGAAATTATGGGAAATCTATGATGGTTTATTAGACACTGTGTGCTTTTAATAGTTAAACACTGGTAATACTTGATAATAATCAAGAGTAAATTAATAGACTAACATTTTTAAATGTGTACTTTAATAAGTATAAAGTAAATAAACAATTAGGTAAGCTTGTGGAAAAGCTGCCAAGATACATAAATTAAGAAATACAAGTGTCTATCTAAGTTTTCTATATTTCTTTCTTTCTTTTTTTTTTTTTTTTACAGAATATTTGTTAAAGTTGTTTAATGTATAATTTCTCATTAGTCATTTTGGAAGTCCTTTATTGTAAAGATTATTCTTTTGTTTGATAACAAACAGCAGCCACGGTGTCAATGATTATTCAGGACCTCCACGCTGAAAAAGAAAAAATAAAACAAGATTAGGTGTCAGATTTACAGAAAAAATGTTTTCATGGCCACTATACAAATTTACACTATTTTAAGTAAATGATCTTTAGTTTTTTAAAACAATTGCAGGTTTTCTCATTGCTTTATGGCACTCATAGAAATGTTATAATTTCAGATCTGGGATTCAGGTTGATCCAGATCAGTGGTCCTCAAATTTCATGGTCTCAGAGCTCTTTACAATCTGAAAAATTGAGAACCCTAATGAGCTTTTTTCTAATGTGCTTATGCTGATTGCTTCTACACATCATACTTCTACACATATATTTCTTCATGCATGTAAACTGAGGGCTTGGACATGGTTTATTTCTCATAGTCCTGGCCTATCAGACCATCCGTATCTTAATTATGGACATACCATGACAAGACAATGGGAAAGGCATGTAAATCAGCATACGAAATTCCAAAAGCCAAAAACGTTAAGGTGTTTTGCATAATATTGTGATAAACACCAACAACATACTTGGATATATTCGACTTCTTCTTGAGTCACAGGTTTCCTTCTGTATTTCTGAGGTAATGTTTTTATTATTTCTGCAGTGTCTGGTGGACCCTGATGCATCAGCCAATCTGACGATTTACTTCCCTTAGAGTGCTGTGAAATTGAAGAAGAGTGAGATGGTACTCCTGTTGATCTCACAGCTTCTGATACTGAAATT